GCCAACTTAAATAATTTTGAAACCTGTTTACACAATGAATATTCTTCAAGTCTTAACCCTCCTCACACACTGAAAGTTGATGTGTGATCTTTAAAAATAAATAGTTGAAATGTGAGAGTCTATGTAAAATTAAATGCAAAATATAATCCACTGAGAGACTGGGAATAAATAATTGACAAGATTGAAGTTTGCATCCTTCAAAAGCCAATGCACATTTATTATAAAAATAATGTTAATAAAATTTATAAACTTATAATTTGGCCCAGTTTTTTATTATTGAGTAATGATGCGTGAAGATAAAAAAAATGGGGGAAGATTTAACACTTAAATTCTCCACCCAATAAACTATTTTCTTTTATGAAGAGAACATTGGTATGAAGCAAACCCAATTTCTTCTCGTTGAAGAGACAAAAAATTTAGAATCCTAATTCTAAAAATATTTAACAAGTTAAATACGAAATCTTTAAAATCTATGAGAAAGGCAATTAAAGGACAATAGAATTAGAATTTATAAATTAAAATAGGTGAATGATTGTCACTTTCTGAGCATGGTGGAGTGGAGGGATTGATGGATTAAAAGTATCAAAAAAGAAAAAAAAAGGAGACATTTTAAAATTCAAAAAATCTTCTCCAAATGCTGCTCTCAAATCCTACATAATTAACAATATTTATTTAAAAGATTTTTTTTATATTAATGTTATTTGCTGAGATTAAGTGAGAAAAAAATTTTATTGTGTAAAAAAAAAAAACAAAAAAAAAAAAACACTTCCATTTAAAATCAATTCTTATACACTGTTCAGGGATTAGACTAAATTAGATTAAATTCACAAGCCTTAAAAAGTCAGACTGTTAGGGATATTTTGGCATCAAACCCAAATTGCTAATATATATCAATGAATTTTGAACATTTGAAATTCTTAAGGAGAAAAATATTTTATTAATGAAGAGTAAAAAAAATTTTTTAAAAGTTTTAACTTTGAATACTTTCTAAAAGATTTTATTTAAATCAAATATACATGTAAAGTTAATATTTTACATTAGCAGTTCTTAGATTAATGAACTGTTGAGATCTTTTCATTAGGGAAAATAAAGGCTGATTCTTTTTAGTGATAGTTATGGAACATTCAATGTGATCAAATTAAATGGCCTTCAACAGGTTATAAGTGTACAAAAATATTTAAAATAAAAGCATCACTTATTATCTTAGGTTTTGTCGGTCAAAAAGAAAAAAAGGAACTCAAAGAGTTAGCTGCTACTAATGATGATGTTGATAATAATGACAGACTAAATGCTGATCTTGAGAAAAAGATTTTAAAATTTCTGAATCTGATTGCTATTTCCACTTACGGCTTCAAGTTCTCTCTAAATGGCTTGGCTTTAAGTGTCTATTTTTAATGCTGTTAGATCAAGACTAAACCATTTATTAACATTATAATGTCCTCATTTTACTTAATTTTCTCTTCTTTTTCTTCTTTTCTCAATTATCAAACGTTTTAGGCATATTTTGGAAAGGCCCAATTTACCATACTTTCTGTGACCATATAGTTTTAACATCCTGCCTTTGATGATGGGCATAAGTACCAGTTTACTTAAGAAACTCTTCAACTTTGATATATGACAATTTATTGTTTGTTATAAACCTCATGATATGATTTGGAAATATTTAATTGTATATAATTAGTTAAGAACAGGTCATGTGAAAAACTAACTGCTTCTGTTAATGAAAGTCTTTTTCATATAGTAATTTAAATAACTTATTTCAAAAACAAATCCTCCATCAAATCTTTCCTTTAAAGAGATTATTTTTCTCATACAACATTTTAATTACCAAAAATTAAAAACATAATTGATGATCTAAAATTTATTCCATTAAATTTTGATCATTTCAATTATTTAAATTTATAGATAGAATACAAAAAGCAAAAAAAAAAAAAAAAAATGACAAGGGCTGCAAAGCCAGACATGACTCCATGTTTGAGTAACATAATTGCTTATTTTAGTCTATTTAAAGGACATGTAAATTTAAATGAATGAAGCAATTGAATTAGAAAATAAAGGAGTTATTTTTAACATTTTCCTTTTCAGTTTTGCTCCCCAGATTCTGTAACTAATGTTTGCCACAATGTTTTGATCTGTACAATAACAAATGTTTCCCTCATAGATTTATAAAACACTGGACAGGGAAATATGGGTAACAAAGCAATCGGATACAAAGTTAACAGAAAACTTTCAAGATTGCTAATAAAACTGATTTCAGCATTTTTTGTCTTTGTCAAAGAAATTGCACAAAAGGTTTTGCTTATGAACCGGATCAATCAACTTTTACATCAAATTCTTCTTTGAGAAAAATTATACTTGAATCCTTAAAGTAAGTTTTGGTCATGGATTGTATTAATACTGCTAATTATTAAACATTCTTTTGAAATAAATCTGAAATGTAACCAACAAAAAAATGTACATTTTCTTAATTTCAAATAGTTACTTGAACTATATATATATATATATATATATATATATATATATATATATATATATATATATATATATATATTTTTTATATGCGAGTTTCATTTTTTTTTTATCTTTTTCCCCCACTGCCTCCCAACAAAACCAGTCTACATTATCCAGAGAAATTGTGGTGTGTGTGTATATATATATATATATATATATATATATATATATATATATATATATACACACACACACACACACACACACACACACAGATGTTTAAGCTCTCTTGGGTACAGCAGTTTTATAAGATATATAGCATGAAAGACTTGTATAAAGCTAACAGGACATTCATTTGAACTAATATGAATGGGTCAAATTAAAGAAGCAACATTTTGAATCAACTGGCTGCTGTATGTATTAAAGTATATTCTCTTCAGTCAAGAAATGAACACAGATTCCTTTTGGGAAAAAAAAAAGAAAGAGTTAAACTGACCAAATGATCAATAGGTAAATAGATATATTTGATATAAAGATAAAGGAGCAACTATCTCAATTACTTCACTTCTTTGTCTGGCTGAAATAATTAAAGAATAAATAGAAAACATACTGGAGAGTTCCTCGATATTTGAAAAATGACGAGCATAATCAAAAATGAAAAAGCCAGTCAAAGTAAATCTTAAAGTACTTTTTTGATTTCATTAAATATAAAAAAAAACAAAAAAAAAAAAAAACAAAACTTAAACAATCTAAAATTATTTCTAAAAATATAAAAATTAAAAATGTATCACATGTATTGAAAAATTAAGGGAGTTACTGAAGTTCTGCTTTGGGGAAAACATTTAAAATGTTTTGTTTTTTTTTTACATTAATTTATGGTGAATATTACAGATATCAACAACAGCACCAGGTAAATTGCAAAATAAATTTCTTGAAAAAAAAAAATGCAATAAATTATAACTGATAAATGCTGACAAAAAATTCTGTTAAAGATTTTGCAAATATGTTTGCCATTTACAAAAGTGTGAATTCTTATATTGATGATTTAAGAACATTGAATCTTTTCAATGACATTCTCACAGATCCCAGTTCTCTCTCAATTGTGTCTAATTTCTTCTCAAGATCTTCCTACAAAAAATAAAATAAAATAAATAAAATAAAATAAATATTTAACAATAATGCATGCATGCGAATATGAGTTTATCTGACATTAATATCTAAGCTGCAAATAAAACAGTCTGCGACCTTCTGGCTTTTACTAAATATCTTCCCAATTCTCAAAGATAAAAAAAAAGGAAAAATGAAATTTAACTTAGAATTTATTAGAAAGAGTATTAAAAACATTCAAAGCAAATAAAATCATCTATTCATCACTCTGCAAACTTGTTAGATTTTATCTGCTTGACTGTACTTGAATTATGGCAATCAGTAGAATGGTAGTGGTGGTGCTATTGAGCATGGATTAAATTTACATTATTATTGTTCTTTTATATTCATTATCCCATCAGGAGGTGTTCAGTCATGGCTCTCCACAACTTCCTATCCTTGTCTCCTCATTATCCTTTTCAGTCTCTGTTCTACCATCTACACAAGCTCATTAGGCAATGTTTCCCTTTGCCAATCCTATGAGTATCAAATTCTCCAACAAGAGCAAAAGTTATCAAGACAATTTTCAAAAGATAAAACATTTCTCTTCATTTACAGGTAAATTTATTTATATGTTTGCTACTGACATTCCAGATTTACAGAATATCAATTGCCCAAAAACTTGCATAATGCTTGACTATTATATGTATGATTTGTTTGCTTGTTTTTTTTTTATTGAGAAAAAAAATCCTTTTTGGTTCAACTCTGAATGAAAATCATTGGATGAATTAATTATTCTGCTGGTAACAGAAGAAAGCACAAAAACAATGACAATAATCATGTGGTAAAAAGTTTATTTTGTTTTTGTACTCGTAAAACCTCATTCCTACCTCAATAAAAATGTCTTTTATAGAGTCAAGAGAAGACAAATTCAATTTAAGAATGAAGCACAACCCCTACTCTAATCAAGATTTCATTCAAAGGAAAGCCAGAGTGGCAAATGGCAAAAAAATAAACTGTTAAAGAAAAAACTATGAAATAAATAATTAAAAGAATTTAAAAAATGTTGATTTCTATTCTTGAGATTCATTAACAAATTAGGAAAAAGTTTCTTAAGCAACTTGAGTGTTGCAATTTGCCTCATTCAAGGATTTAAGTATCAATCTTTTATACTGCTTATAACTAAGTGAAGAATTATTGGAAACGTTGAATAATATTTTAAGTATGTTGTAGGTTTTACAAAATAGTTGTAAGAGTAAAAAGCTTTTACTGAACTCTTAATGACTTTTCTTGCTTTTGCTGCAAATATGGAAAAACTTATCTGAAAATATTTTTCATTTTTACGACAAAGCAATGCAGCCATTAAGCAAATTTGATTCAAAGATTCTAGTGAAGATTTTCATAATTACACCATTTTTTTTTTAAAAATTGTATGATTAAGATTCTTCATAAAGTTTTCCAGATTAATGCCATGAGTTCTGTTGTAGCAACTGTCTCAACTTGTAAGCTCCCTGACGAAGAAAAAAGAAAAGGAAAGAAACAGTTTCTGTATACATATATATTTATTAATCAGTCAAGCGCCTTATCTACCCTATTTGAGATAATGAGATTCTATTGTCATGTTAAAATGGCTGACTATCAAGGTTACCATAACAACAAGATCATGTAATAAAATGATTTTTATTTATTTTGCTTCATGTTAGTTTTTTCTTTGAATATGAATATATATATATATATATATATATATATATATATATATTTTACAAGCAAAATTCTACATAACATTCAATAATAGACTTAATTGTATCGAAAATTATTCTAAAATTATTTATGCAGTAAATAGAATCAAGATTAGGTTTAAAAAGACAATCTTAAATAGGTTATGATAATCAATGCTGACGGTTACATTGTCAGTATTGATTATCATCGGCTTCTGTGTCATTCATTGAATCAACATTGAAGAGAAATGACTAGAAATAAAAGGAAAAAAGTCGCTGTAGAGAAAACTGAAATATAGATAATCGGGGTGGAGAAAGAAAATAAAAATGAGAGAGAGAGAAAAAGATTAAGTAGTCTTACAATACAAATGAATTTCTGACACTATTATCTTGCTTTCTTTTTTCAAAAAAGAATTTAAGTAGCATTTAATTTATAAATCATTTTCTCTTCTTAATCATTTTTATTTTTCTTCAAGAAACAAGAAAAATGCGAAGCAACAAAATGTTGATTTTTTTTTTTTTTTAAATACAATGCGACTGTAAAATTTCTAAAATATTGTCATTTTTTGAGGATCTAGGTAAACTATTTAAGTACTAGTAAAAATGAGTTCAAGATTATGACATTAGAAAAAATATACACATTAGTTTTCACAAATCACAGATACTACACTGATCATAGACAGAAAGGAAAAGAATAATATTTTGGTTCTAGGTAGAGTGCAACATATACTCTGATCAAGGACAAATGTATATATTACTTATAACTAAAATAATTCATGTCTTTTCCTGAATCTGTACTTATTTTCACATAATTTTTCACCCAATCCTCAACAGTTTTGATATATATATATCAAAAGTAATAATTCATGCCTGAGGAATTGGTAGAACAAAACTTTAAGTTGCACTTCAAATGTAAGTATATGTTTATTTATTAATATATACTTGAGCACTGTTTTGTTTACACCTTATATTAAATTGAGTAAATATTTATTCGCTTACCTGTGTATGCATGATAATGCACATATATACGGTTGCTAATATCTAGTTATTTGATTTATCCACATTCATATATACATATATATGTGTGTGTGTGTGTGTGTATACACACACACACACAAGTTGTATCAAAAATACTTTTACATAGTTTGTGGTGCCATAGAACCTGTTTCAGCAAAATGATTATAAAGAGCAGCAAAGGTTGGCTGACTCTGCTGTCTTCAGTCTGGAAATACAATTTGATACATCTATGCAGCCTTGCATCCATTACCATTTGTGTGATCGTATGTAAAAATCATATCTGCCTGCTCATCATATGAATATCCTACCATTGTTAATTTCTCTGTTAACTCTCTACTACACATTAAATGTTGGAGACAAATTAGCCACAAATGTACATGAATGACATATGTAACCAAGTCTACTTTTGTCCTTGTTTTGGAGTGAGAAACCCACCCTCAAAGTTTGTAAAAGTATTTTGTTGCACCATATATATATATCGAGAGACACACACACAGAAAGCAGTACGTTATAGTGCAACTAGAAAATGATATGATTTCCAACAAGTAATAATTATCACTGAACTTTATATATATATATATATATATATATGAGAGAGAGAGAAGGAGAGACATATACACACAAGTAAAATAATTAATTTTTTTTTAAAATCTACTGATTTTCATGGAATTTTTCATCCAATCTTCAAGTTTTATACACACACACAAAACAAAAGCAGTATGTTATAATGCAACTAGAAAATGACGTGATTTCCATCAAGTGATTATTAATACTGACCTTACGTTGCCGTGCTTTTCTATCAACTCTACCTGACACAGGAATACGACTCAAAGAAGCCTCAAGCTAAACAGAAAATTTGAAAAAATAAAATAATAGGAAGCATTTTAAAAAATTATACCAAATTAGGATACAATTACAAAAGAAAAGAAAATAAGTATCTTCTTGCAACACTTTTACTTATAACAAATAATAGGCCAGAGTAATTATTTGGGAAAGTTTGTTTAAAGGTACAAAGACCTTGAGCATGTCTAAGTTTATATACTGGTCAGGTTAGGAAAAAAAAAAACCAAACTGTAAAATTGTAGGAACTGTCTTTATTGTACTTATTTCAGTTAGATGAGAGTTGTAGAATCAGAATAAATGATTACCTAATCTGCAGACATTTGTTTGTTTTATTTTTTTTACAGTTTGCCAACCTTCTGTGGATTAGTTAAAGTTAAAACATATTTTATATTGTAAGAATAATTCTTTTTTGTGAGTGAATATCGCAAGACCAATTTTTTGAGAATAACAATGATTTTTCTAGATACAAGTCTTACTAATTAAATCATAGTTGGGAAAGAACTGGATTCCTGGTTTTCTCAAGAGTATTTGCGCTTAAATAGGTATCTCAAAACTACCTTAGTTTACAGAGTGAACATGTATCAAAATAGGGAACTTTCCTTCCATTTCAACTGCAGACGTCATTTATTTTCAAGGCTATTTTGATAAAACTAGTATGTAAACAAAATGTAATCTTTTTTGTTTCTAAACATACAATTCTTTCATGTGTGTGATAATTAGTTTTTATTCTACGTCTGTTTAAATTATGTCACTATTTTAATGACAGAATGATTTTCCATATTTTTAAAGTTGACAATTTCATTGTGGTCATTTTTGAAGTTACTTGAGCTCAGAGTTGAGTCTACACATATCAAAATAAACACCTCTTAAAGAAAAAAAGGACGCTCATCAATTTGGTAGGCAAACCAAAAGATTCTGTTTAGAGAAATTTAGACCTCCTTGTAAAGCAATGTCACATCTTTAATAATCAGTTGATTTCCCATTTCTGCACCCATACAACTTGAGGTGCACGTGAATTCAAAAGAGGGTATACAGTGTTTATTTTGTGCAAACCAGTTGAGTGGGTCCAATGTATCAAAATTCATATTGCTGATCAAGTGAACAACACCAGCAAATCAGACTTGTTCCATCGATTTAAAGTTTAAATCTTTTTCTTATATTTTTCTTTAATGATGTATTTTAAAACTGTATAAAACAATTATTTTTTTTTTTTAAGTAAATTCAAGCTGACAGTTTCGACAAAATAAAACTTTTATTTTCTCCAAACTGTCAGCTGAAATTGCTGTTGCCTCAGCGAATCTTCTTATTTTCTTAAAAAAGAAAAAACTTCTATAAAATAAAAAATAAACTGTGTATATTTTTAGTTCTTGAAATTTTGCTCATTCTTGTTTGTCTATAAAAAAATTAAAATAGAACTTTTAATGATCATTTATAAATGTTAAATGATCATTAAAAGTTCTATGTTAGGTTCCCGGCTATGGGAAAATAGATGAATTCATTCAAGATTTGCTAAAAAAAAAAGCATACTATGATAAAAAACAAATGCCCCAAAAAACAAAGTTTTATCATTAAAGTCTTTATTATTATTATTAAGAAGAAAGACCAAGGGATTTTTTCAGTATTAAATTATATATTTTAATCCTTTTTAGAACATCCATTTTTCTTGCATCAGCAGGTGACCATAAATTAATAAGAAATTTCAGTGTCTTTTTACAATGAAAAACACATTGATTTGGAAATTCTTGAAAAATCAAATTGTCAAATTTTAATGAAACTTTCAGGTTGTTTGATGATGTTTAGCAACATATCAACGTCTATGTGTTATTTAATACAAAAATCTAAATATTTTTATGCAATTTTAAGTGTTTGACTACAGATATTTTCTACATAATTTTATACTTTCATGGTAAACACGTTTTTTAGATATATAGTTTGTAGATGAGAAAATATATTGTTGGTAATTTTAAAAAAATGTATTATTGAAAATTTTACTATAAAAATGTATTTTTATACTTTTTTTGTTGTATTGATTGTCATTTTATTATAAAAATGTGTTGCTGTTAAATTTATTATAAAAATGTACTTTTGATTTTTGTTTGAGGGTTCATTATTTTTCCATGTCTGGGACCCTAAAAGGGTGCTACTACCCAGGGTCAGGGATAATCCGAGAACAACAGTAATTGAGAGGTGGTTCCATGTTCCTCAAAAGTTCCAATCTCTTGATCAGAGGCCTGGTGGATGTAGTTTATCATCATACCTAGAATGTGAAACTTTCAGGACTTATTCACAAATGAATTAAATTATTTTATAAGCAATTCTTTCTTTTTTAGAAAATCTTAGCAATATATTTGTTTATTATGCAGTGTTACATTAGAACATGCACATACCCACTACAAAACTGTACATCTTGTTTCAACGTTGTTGAAACAAGATGTAACACTACATAATAAACAAATATTTATTGCTTTTCTTTGGTACTGTTTTAAATTAATGTTTCGAACGCTGAAATCTTACTCTTTGTTCTTTTACATTTGGATGGATATATATATATATGTATTATAAATTAACTGATTTAAAATAGGGCTTCTTCGCTACACTGTAATAACCATGTTTCAAAAACTGAAGCTAAAAACTTCAAATTTAATTATATAATTAAATTAAAAGCATTAGTTCCGTCTCATCTTCAAGCGAATTTTGGAATAACTTATTTTTAAATTTTAAATGCACATATAAATTCATAATTTCCTGTTCCCAAGGATACAGAGAAATCCAATCATTCAGACAGGGGTGGTAGCGTGTTCATTTTTATTAACTATTGTTGTATTAATTATGAGTTACATTCAAGAAAGAGGTTAAAGGAGGGTAGGGGTGTATTTTCCAACGAATTCTGACATCCATTAAACACGTTGTCTGGTTTTTTTTTTTTATTATTAATGACAAAAAGTTTTTCGGCATTTTTTTCGTACTTATATACTTAAGGATTCTTTCTAAAAGGGGTGTTTGGTTTAGAACACATTATATTTAACTACAATTTTAAAATATTTTTACTCTTAATTATTAATAGACTATATTTCTTTTTAAATCAAGTAAATGTAATAGAATTACTTAAATTATTTTTTCATATCAAATATAAGTATGTATATTACCAGCTCCCAACTTTTTATTTTATTTTTAAATATTATTTAATGAAAATTTTTAAGTTCAGGCTTTTAAATTCTTTATATAATATCTTTCTAATTTTATTGATTTTAAAGTTAGTAGAGTTCTTTATAACCCTAAGTCCATCATCTCTGTATAAACCAATATCAGTTATATTAATTTCATGGTACACTGTGAGATTGTATAATATAAAAAGACCTATAAGACCTATACCTATTAAGTAAAAACTATATTTATTAATAATAAATAATTATTAATAAATGGAAAAGCTTCAATGTAAATTTTTTGTGTCAAAAATGAAAGAAAATATTTTAAATTATGCAAGTACCAACTCTCAAAAAGAAAATATTTCTTGAATTTAATTAAGTTATTTTTTGGTAAAGTTCATGATGAGCTTTCACTATATTCACAACTTAATTTGAATATATATAAAAGAAAAACTCCTGAAGATGTTACTTGAGTAAAAGTACTCAAGTAAAATTTTCAGGAATTTTTCTTTTATATAATAGTAAAATATTTCTCAAAATTTAAATGTATTAATGATATTTGAAAGGTGGGGTGGTGGAACTGACAGAAAAAGAAAAAAAAAAAAGACAACATGGATCACTCAAACTTGCTCAAAGACAACCAAAATCTAAATCAGCAAGTGAGTGGCAATTAGTTCTTGGCATCTGCAACAAAGACACAACCAACAAGAAGTACTTGTACAAGAAAGCATTGCTAAAAATGAGAGACAAAAGAAGGAAAAAGAATGTCAAGTTGCTGCTGAGAAATGGAGAATCTAATGCTCAATCATCAAACATGGTGATCCTGTAAAATCCATAAAAAGTTGAGATTAAAATAATTTAAAGTCTTAGTATTTATGCTGATGGCAACTATTTGTCTTAATAGTAAGTCTGATAAATTTGATAAAGTCGAATTGGCAGATCTCGAAAATGTCCTTAAATCCATTGTTAACTGGGGCAAGAAGTGACTTGTTAATTTTAACACCTCCAAAACAAAACTGCTCTCTTCATCTTAAAGAACTTCTTTTGCCTCCCATCAACACGGCTGATGCTAACCTCCAGGAGAGCAGCACACTGTGTCTTCTCATGTTTTCCACTATCATAAAATGGAATGATTGAGTCAATTGCTAGTTCTGCTGCTAGGAAAGTCGGTTCAGTTTCATGTTAGACAATTCTTCTCACCAGAATTTATATTGCACCTTTGTAAGTATATTATTTGTCTGTGCATCAAATATTGCTGTCTGGTGCTTCTGTTTTTTATCTAGATGTCTTGACTTGACATCCTGGATTCACTCATTTTCCCCACAGCCACAACATAGCTTCTCTTTGCCTTTTCTATAAATATTTTCATGGTAATTTTTCTGATGAACTTTCTTTGTTGCTACCTCAACTTTACGAATTTAAGCTCAGTACTTGATTGGCAGCTAGGTTTCATAATTTCACTGTTGAAATTGCTAGTTGTAGCCATCATAAATTCTATATAAATTCCCCTCTTGCTTGTGTAACTCTCTGTGATCTTCAAAAATTTAAATGCAATGTCCATCATCATCATCATTAGTAGTCTCATTGACTCTTGTTTCTTTCATTGCCCCCCTCTGTGTTTCTTTCACTTTCACTAACCTCTTGAATCCTAGTGGCTTGTATTGCCTTGCTTTCGGTGAAATGATTAAGATTTTTTTAAAAAAAGTTATAAACAGCTATGGCTATGTATTTTGTCATATTAAAAGATAAAAAGTTGCTACCAGGGATTTTAATACACCTAGTGAATAAAATGACAATAGGTGAGAAAAATAATATAAAACAATGATTTCAACTTTATTATGCACAGCAGGCAAATTGATAAAATTACTTCATTAATTGCTTTCAGAAATAATAGAAACAAAAAACAAAGAGCTGTATTTATTTTAATGGCTGAAATCCATATATGCAAATTGATAGAAAATGTTTAACCAAATTTAAATGTAGGCACTAGAAAAACAATTATAAAATAAATTCAGATTGAAATTACCTGAATTTTCTCAGCTTGAAGGCTATCATAACGATCTTCCAGTTTTTTTATTGTGTCAAGGGTCACTTGAAATTTTTGCTGAGTCTGAAAATTACATTGAAAATAATAATGACAAGTTCAATAATTCTAAGAATATCATCATTCTGTTGTTATGATATTTTATTGTCTGGTACATTGACTAATAAATAAAGAAAAACCTCAATTTAACAAATATCAGATTTAAAGAGCCATAATAAACTAGTTTTTTTATTTTTACTGAGCAAAATTAGATAAAAGTTAGAAAAAAATCATTCATGAATACATGTTAAATTACTAGGTATATGTCAACCATGTTATAGATAAAAAAAAGATTGTGCAGATTTCAGCTATTTTTTAATTCAGTTTTCACTATAAATAACAAATCTTACCTGGCAATAATACATGTGTGGAAATGTATGTAGGATTGTTTTATTTGATATTTTATAGTTTTATGTAACATTGGTCATTTACATACTATCTTGGAATTTAACAAAATCAGAACAACAAAATGTGCTCCAGTAGAATAATAAATCTAGGCTATTGTCAGCTATCTTAGTTGCTGTTGTTGGCAAACAATTGTTGCTCATAATAGCAACATCTCATCAACTCAAGATCAGTGTAATACCTTGCACTTCTTTAGTAGTGTTGCTAAAGAGATAGCGATGTAAAATTATAATAGTTTTTCCTGTTAGAGCTAGGTCAGAGGAGAGATCAGTTGCAAAGTTCCAATTATCTCAATTTTTAAAGGTGCATCCATAAACAGTGGGGGTATCATCTTCATAAATGTTTACCAATGAATCTGCAAATGTTTCTATCATATTTTTATTTTTGAATTTAATGTTTCTCTTCAACAAACAAAATTTTTTTTGATTAAACAAAAAGGAAGAACCTAAATGAAAAACTTTCCCTTGACCTTTGAACCATGGTGGACAGGTACATTAATATGTGAGTCATGATTATAAATGAAGCCCTTGACAAAGACCAGAAATGGTTTCAGGTTTCTCTTGTTCTAATTTAAAAATTTTTATTTATTGTGATGATTGTGTGAAAGTAAATTTAAAAATTAAGAATGTTAAATTCCATATTCATTCACACAGTACTATACAAGTGTCAATCAATAAATCTCACATATTGCTAACCAAATTTTTATGTGAAATTTACATTATACAGGGTGTGTCCCTAAAGTCTGGTCATACAGGAAATCACATAAACTATATTTTTTTTACCCCCACACATTAAACTTGTTTTTGTTGAAAGAAGAAAGAACTCACTTCTTTTTCTGATATATGCCAAAGGAGAAAATGAAGGAGATAATGAAAATTACAGATGCAATGCTCTTGACTGAACACAAAGAGTTAATGTACTAAGATTGACAGCGATGTTGAGTTATTGCATCGAGTTCACGTGAATCTTGCAAAATGCATCAGCTCCTGCATCACAAATGATGGAAATCATACTGAAGACACTACTGTGTGTGTGTGTAGTTGGTAATATGATGTCTAAGTAGGCCACCACTAACAGTGGTTTACCTACTTCACGCTGCTGGTGAGTATTGTATTTTGTTAATGTTATAAAAAATTACCATTTCATTTCCAACTTTACAACATTTTGGCAAACAGGATTTGTCGAAACTCAAGTAAACGTTCACCAGTACATTGTTTGGTGAACAAAGATTTTGACAGAACAGAACTCATGTAAACGTTCACACATATGATATTCTACAAGTGAAGATAACAGCAAAACCCGCGTAAAAATTGACCAAGGCTACAAGGAAGATCAAGAAATTACCAAAGCTACAAAGCATTTTTGGCTATAAGGATTTTCTAAGGATTACATGGATATTAAACAAGTTATTCAAAATACAACATTCAGAAAAATATGGGATATTATTCCAACTATAAAGATCTGGAAACATAACAAAAGGTATGTGAAATTGAAAAATTGTATTGTTGAGAGGGTTTTCTTGGTGTAAAGGTGTTATAGTGGAAGTTAATTAGTAAGAAGATTTAAAGTGTTTTACAGTTGTGTAAAAAAGAAAAAATACTTTTGTGAAATACGGAAACAGCAAGACAAACAATGGAGACATTACAAAAAGAAACTTGGAAAAATTCGAGAATTGTTTGTAGAACAACAACAGAAAATGTCAATGAGTAACAAGAACAAAGATTCAGGTGTTTTTTTTTTCACAGGACGTTATCGTAAATGCAATTGCTGAATTCAATTATATGCCAGAAGAAGAGGTAACATTTTCGTCATATTTCCGTTGATATGAAGGCCTTTACAAAATGGACTGTGAAAATTGGTCAGACTAGTGCTAAGGAAATTAGGTGTTGTTGAACACACAAAGTTTGTAAATTACATATTACTGAAAAAACCTAGTGACCTAACGTTTAAAGAAATGGTTACTTTGCTTTCTGAAGTGTTCAGCCCAAAGATGATGTTGTTCCATAAAAGATGAAAATGCATGAACTTAGCAAAAAAGGAAGATGAAGATTTTACAACGTTCGGTAACATTATAAACAATCAGTGTGAGGGATTCAAACTGGCAGAATTAAACCCTGTCAATTTTAAATGCCTGATATTTGTTCAAGATTTGGTATTGACAAAAGATGCTGAAATCAAGAGAAGGGTTTTAAATAAACTTGAAAATGAACCCGATCTGACTTTACAAAACCTAGCAGAAGATTGTCAGAGTTTTATAAATGTTCGACAAGATGCCAAAGATATCAAAGTAAGTGGTGTGGTGCAAAATGCATCAAGAAAATAAAGTGAAGAAGAAAAATAAAACATTACTCCTAATCCCTGTTATTCATGTGGAGAATTACATTTTTATAATGACTGTCCATACAAAAATAAAGAATGTTTATCATTGCAAAAAAAGAAAAAAGTCCATAAGAAAACTCACTGTAAGGTAAAAAAAAATGAGTGAATAATTACGTTAAAGTTACTAACGTGGATGAATCTGCTGGTTGGAATATAAGAAGATTTGTGCAGGTAAAAATCCTTAACAAAAATATTAAATTACAATTGGATAGTGGATCTAACTTAAGCATAATAAATGTCTATACATGGAAAAAAAAAAGAAAAAGAAAACTCAATGTTAGTGGTTACCAAGAAAATCAGTCGTAGTAATACAGGACAGAAAAATAAAATTCAAAGGGGGATTTATATCAAATGTGAAGTTGTACAGGAAAATGTTGAAATTAAAACTGTAATGAAAAATACAAATAACCTTTTTGGAATGGACTGGTTTAAGTTATGGAAATATTTGGGACAAATAACTACCAAAATGGTAGGAGACCAGATTCAGCACAAGCCAGTGATATAAAAGACATATCTGCTTCTGAAAATGTGAGATTCCTACAAAGTTTTGTGTGTTTGGCAAATTATTACAACCTATTTGTGCCAAACTATTAAAAAATGACTCTAAATGGGTTTGGACGATGAAGTGCCAGGAAGCATTTGAAAAAATTAAAGGAATTCTAACATTGGATATGTTTTTGACACATTATAATCCTAAATAAGAAATAATTGTAGCAAGTGATGCTAGTTCATATGGAATAGTAGTCTGCGTTATGCATTAACTTCAAGACTGCTCAATTAAACCTATTGTGCACTCATCTGGGACGCTTCTTCCAGCTGAAAAGAATTATTCCGTAATAGAAAAAGAGAGTTTAGGGATTGTTTGCCCTTATGAAATTTCAAAGATTCATCCACAGAAGAAGGTTTACCTTACAAATGGATCACAGACCATTGCTAGCTATTCATGGGTAAAAAAAAAAAAAAGAAGCCTATTGATCCATAGAATTAATAGGTTACAATGATGGGGAACCATCTTATTGAATTACAGTTTTAAGATGAAATTCTTGCCATCAAGTAAACTGAGTCACGAGGATGGGTTGTCCAGATTTATTCCCCAAAAATAGTGAACCTTTGGGAAGACACGGTCATTGCTTCTCTACAAGCGGAGGTAGAGATAAAAAAATTTCTATGCAATACTGTGCAGGAACTACCTATAACTTTGGAAGAAATAAAAAAAAAAAAAAAGCATTGGATGACAATTTTATTGTGAAAATGAAGAAAAAACTAAAAGACGGGAGTAAAACAGAATCCGAGGTATATTCAATTTGCAATGAAGCGAAAGAGTGGTGGTACCTTCATCACTACAGAAACGAATCCTGAAAGAATTTCATAGAATGAAAAGCTTAACAAGAAGTTATGTGTACTGGCGTAGCATGGATAGAGACATTGAATGTTTGGAAAATTCATGCAAAGGCTGTGCTTTAACAGCTAAAGCACCACTAATAAAGTTCAACTCATGGCTAGAAACTGACCACCCATGGTCACGTCAGCATATTGACTTTGCTGGTCCACTTAATGGTTCATATTATTTGACAGTTTTTCCAAACGGCCAGAGATATTGAGATGTAAGAAACCAACCACAGAACTAGTAATTGGGTTTTTACAATAACTGTTCACGAGATTTGGGGTACTAGATTCTATTGTTTAAGGTAATGGCACCCAATTTACATCAAAAGAATTCAAGGAATTTTGTAAAATGTTTGTGGTAGAGCACATAACAGTTGCCCCTTACCACCATAGAAGCAACGGCCAGACAGAGGGTTTTGTGGATAACTTTAAGAGGACCCTAAAAAAATCCAACGGTGTGTCCATGGGTGCAGCATTACAACAGTTTCTACAAGTTTATTGGCTTACATCAAATAAAAATGTGCTTTTGGCCATGACTCCAGCAGAAATTATGTTTGCACAGAAAATAAGATCGGAAATTGACAAGCTTATAACAAATAAGAAAAAGTAGGTATATAGATAAAGAGAAAGATACTCCAGTGGATGTTGGGCCTATGGAAGTTCTTTTTGATACATTTGATGTGCCCATTCCTCGGAAAGCTCCTGAGAGAAAAATCCATAAAAGACAAAGTAAGAGGAAAAGAAGGGATACAGAGAGAATTGACATTAACCTGAAAAGGAAAAAATATTGACTCTGGGCAGAGTAAATCTAAAAAGGGCTGGGGAGGGGTGTTATATACCATACCTATGAACACTAATGGGTATGGCCCAAACCTCATAAATATGTTGGACACTATTCTAAGTGGGGGGTAATATGCTGTCTAAGTAGCCCACCACTAGCTGTGGTTTACCTACTTCACACTGCTGGCAAGGATTGTATTTTGTTGTTGTTGTTATAAAGATTACCATTTCATTTCCAATGTCCATTTTGGTTATTCCTCATTCAGTAACCTTTTCTAGGTTACAACAGTCTAGTTGATTAATTTTATTGGAATCAGAGAAAAAGCACAACATATCTAGCTCTGTCTATTAAACCAAAACAAATGCAGACAGGCTTTAAATCCTTTTAAACTCAAATTCGTGCAAAATTGCAATATTGAAGAATAAACTTTAAGTTAACTTATTTGAAGAACTAAATAGCAATCTTTTAAAGAAAGAAAAGAGAACATACCTTAGAAACTGTAATTGGAGAAGATTCAAATTTGTTTTGAACTTTGGTTAAAGAAGTATAAAGATCTTCAAATTGTGGCTGGGAACAAATTTGGCTCAGTTTTGATTCTAAGCTTTTGTCTGTAGAACCTAAAAAAAAAAATTATTCAAACTTCAGAGATAATAAATCCTAAAAGATAAAATAGAATTAATTTTCGGTATCATTTTTTTTTTACAACAGCTTTTCTCCATTTATGAGATATTTTTCTAGATTCATTTTTATAATTTTTTCTGTGTGTAGAAAAGAGTAATAGTATTACTTGGTCAATAAAGCAAATACTTGTCTGAGGATATTAACATACAGTCTTTAAAATGGCAACCATACAAATCCACCTCTCAAATAATTTTTGATATTTTTTGGAGGATTTAAATTTTTTTTCTTAAATGTATTTTTTGTCTTAAATGTTTTTTTGTATGCTTAAAAAAAAAAAAAAAAAAAAAAACTTGCAAAATCCATTAGTATTACTTCCTGTTATTGAACCTATTTGTAATAGCCTCTCTCCATTCCAGTGAAGGTTGTTTTAGCTGTTGCTATAGAAGGATATGACAACACAACTGCAAAATTTAAGTACATGGTTTGGTGATTAGTCATCTGTAGTGGCAAGACAAACTTAAGTCTATTTCAACTAATGAAATATCCAAAATCAAACACCTTTCTATAGTAGATAAATATTTGATGCTAACTTATTCATTAAATGGAATTGTACCAATTTATCAAGGAGTCTGGAAACAAACTTGTTAATTTCACTCTTTAACTGAGCCTCATTCTCTTATTACTAAAGTTATTGTCAATAAAAAGAAAAAAAAATCAGATGATGAAATTTTTACATGTCTAATCTTCACTTTACACTTCAATTTTATGCAACTTTTCATTGAATAAATTTTTTTTTTATACAGCTGAATGAAATACAAATGTTGCAGAAGTGAGTTAGCCTCTTAAAAGCTTTGCATAATTGATAAACTTAATTGAAAAGCTGTCCAATAAATTACAATTCATTTGAGATTCACTTTTCTGTAGCTTAAATGAAAAATTGGAGTTATGAGTTTTATTGAAAACAAAAAATATGATTTGTTTTTTTTACCTGCATTATTGGATTTCTCTTGATGCAAAGGAATAGGTTGTTGATCTTTGACCAAAGAATTAGAAACATCATTCAACTTGATATCATATCGATTGGAATTGTTTACTTCCTTTGGATGAAATGGAACTTTATTTTTACTACTTAATTTTGATGGTTCCATCCCAGTGTGGTGACTTGTGCTTGCATTACTTTTAGATTTAAAATCTTTTGTTAATTGTCTTTGATTGGTTTTTGCCTTTGTCTTAGGCGTCATTGACAAAGGAAGGTCAACTAAAATACCATCGGGAAGATCTAATTCTGTAACAGAATTGCTAGGCTTCCCACTTAACTTCTTAGTGGATCTGAATTTCCGAAGTTCTCTTTCAGCAGCCATGATTGGAGAAGTAAATTTATTTTCAAATGCTTCAGACATTTCTTTTCCTCCAACTTCTCTCATTAAATCTAATTCAGCTTGTCGTGTTCTGAAAGACAAAAGACACAAGAATCATAAAAAATTGTGAGACAAAATGATGAATGAAGGCTAATAAAAGTGTATAATTCTAATAACAATTCACATTTGAAGCTTTTCAATGAGATTTTATTTGACTGATTCTTAATACTTTTCACAATTCTTTTGGGATGCACTAATTGTTAGGGTTATTGTGAAAAGAACTAAAGCTTAAGTGTTGAGTTGTTTTAACTAAGAAATTAAATTGATTCTCCTAATGATTAGAATGTCTTCTCTGAAGTTCATATAAATAGTAAATTGTAGAGAAATACATTTAAAAGCAATCCAATTCAAATGATCTTCTTTGTTTAGATATACATTGATTACAAATACAATTCCTGTATATTTGGTCATTTGTAAAAGTCAAAACCAGAGTATATTTATCTGTATTTTATAAATAAGTAGAAGATCAAATAACTTCATTATTTGTACAAAATTGTGAATTAATGATATAGAATGGTTCACTAGAAAAGAAAAAAAAATGGATAGTTGTTACTTAAAACTCAGGTAAAGCTAATCTAATGTGCTTTCAGAAAAAAAAAAAAAAAAAAAAGAAAAAAAAAGCTAATTCATACATTGTAGTATCAAACTATTATTAGAAATAGGAAAGAAAACAAAAAAATATATCAATAAAATATTTATTCAGAATAGGTATGAATAGAATGCAAAATAGGTATTTCCATTAAAAAAATAATAATTCAACGATAAGAAAAGAGGGGAAAATGCAGAAAGAATAGAAGTTTGCTTGGTTAATTATTCCAGGATGGAGGGGGAAGTGGTAAACTCCCAATTATTATAGCACTATGGTTGTTCACAGCAGTAAGGCTTTCAGAGTTTTTTTAGCCAAACTCACTCTCTTCAAAAATAAAATTATCAATTGGATTTTAATGATTTTTTTAAAAACATTCAGTTAATCATTAAATGTTAAAGGAAATATTGCTTTCAGGTTGAGATTCATTTTGTTTTTTTTTTCTTTTAAGATAAAGTATTAGGTTAATATTATTGTCCATTTCACAAGTAATTAATAAAGTAAGATTGTCTACATTTGATATAAATATTTAATGTCACTTTTCTCTTCTAATTATGAGGACTAAAATAAAAAAAAAGTCAGTCAAATGCACAATACACAACACAGATGCCTTTTATCAATGTACAATTTAATTTCACAGGACAAAAAATTTATTTAAAAAATTCAATTAAAAAGAAAGGTCGTCCTCATGTTATGGACAACATATCTTTTGTATTTTTTCCAATAATCCCTTCACATAGGGTAGGAAGACCAAGGCTGTTTTCTGAGTGTTGTTATCCTCTTGCACCATTCGATTTCTGTTTGTCAGAGCTGCTGTCATGTACCCAGGGTAGTTGTTACATTGTAGGGTACTGCTTATACTGACATGCATGGCATATAGAACTAGAACAATCAACCCTGGTAAATGAAATAAAGGGTTTGGTTCGAAATTCCAATCACCTAAAGAAGGCTGGAGCATACAATGGTCAAAATGTTGTGAATATGGCAACAAAGATGAGGACAACAGGCTGAACAATGCAAATAGTGTAGATAATTACAATACCTCATCTCAGAAATATAAACAGTTAAACACTATTTGTTTATTAGATTATTTATTTAAAAGAATAATTTTATATTTACAAGATTCTAAAAATGTTAAACATTTATTAAAAACCAATTTTTATCATTTACCAATTTATAAATAAATAAATATTTAAATAAGCCAGGTCGGTTGTGTTATACAACGATTTAAATTTTTTTTCAAAAATGAGTAGGAAGGGAGGTAACCTATAATTGCTGACATTTCAGGCCTTGCATTTCAAGATCATGATTATAAAAAAATTGGAAAATTAAAACAAGAAGCAATCTGGCATATAAAATAATCTGAGAAGAAAATGTATCATGCCAAGAAAATTGTGTTTATCCTAATTTTGTTTTATAATTCATTGAAATTTTTGATAAAATTATAAATAAAAAAAAAAACATGTTTTCATGGTTATTTATAAAATGGTAAATAATAAATATTGCATTGTAGTTGGTTCACATATTACATATTTTTATATAGTGGTGTTCAGGGAAAAACTGTCCCATCATTTCTTTTGCGGGCACAAACGTTAATGTTTGCACAATTATTTTTAGAGAAATTCATATAAATCAAGTAGATTCTTAACAAGAAAACATAAGTTTATATTCTTAGATAGCAATCTAAATAATGGTGGAGTAAACTACCAAAATACACACAAATTTCTAAACTTCAACTAAATAAAAAAATAAAAAACATATTTCTTCTTTTGCAAATTCTATTATTATTACAAGTTTTTATACATTGTTTAATTCTAATTTATCACTTATTGTAGCAATAACAGTTATCCTGATACTTATAATTTGGTAAGAAAAAGAAAGTAAAGGCCTATTTTTATCAATTAAAAGTCCTTGTCACATTCAATTCTTTCCAATAGTGATATAGAAAATTGTTTCTGTACCACCTTTCTTGACAAGGATATAATTGTCTAACAATAACACATTACTCTGGATTGTATTTTCCAATGTGATGACATAAATTCTATAAACTGAGTCCATGAGACTTGGAATTAAATTCTATTTCTTTAAAGAACTCTGTATTCAACCAATGTGTTTGTTTATCATATTGGCTATTCTTATGAATAGATAGGCAAACATTTTTTGTCTTATAAGTATGGAACCTTCAAATGATATATTTTTTATCATAGTATAAATAAAGATCCCTTCTAATAATGTAATGTCACTGCACAGCAAGAGCCTAAAGAAACATTTACTTTCTTTTTCTGTTTATTATTCAATCTAGATTATAGCTAAATAATTGTTGATGTAGCCTCTGATATATCAGGTAGGATTTCTGAAACAAAGACAACAAACCCATCATTCATTCTAATCATTATAGATTTAGTGACACAGAAAATGTTTCCTATCATAGCCACTGGGTGGGGTGGGGGTAAATGCAACAAATATACTTGAACCAACTATTCATATGCAAGGTTCTTGTTTTCCTCAATTCTATCCATTTACTTTATCCCTACTCCTCCTTTTTAACTTCAATTACCACATTAGTGTTTAACTTTTTGCATTCTGTAGACGACTTTGTTGAGCAAAAATGTTGTCCTGTCATTGTAGAGGACAACAATTACTGAATGATAATGCTTTTCAATTTGACAGTTGTGTTGTCATATCCTGCTATGGCAACACCAAAAATGACCTTAACTGAGATCAACAAAAAGGCTACTGCATTTAATAGGTTGCAAAAAAGAATGCAGTGGAAAGAAAGTGAATAATGCAGAATGGTAAAAGTTAGTAAACTTAAAAAAAAAAAACAACAAAAACCAGCATTGAAGATGCTGAATATTAAACTCACTGGCTGGATAGATTCCTTTGACTGCCTCGTGGTGATTTGGAGCTGGAACTATTTACTGATGCATTGTTAAGATTTCCTGTTTCTTCATCGCCAAAGAATCTGAAAGTGAAATAAGATAGAAGCAAGAGAAATATCAGAATGTAACGCACATTGCAAATAATAATGTGAAATGATAAAGAGCCGAGAAATACGAAAGATTGATGTTGCCAACGCAAATTATAAAAATCAGACATTAAACACTACTTTAGATTAATCACATTGATTAAAATATTAATTAGATGTCAATTAAATTAATGCCTACTGAAAAATTAAATAAAATGATTAAAAGCTCAGCATAATGTCATAAGATTCATTAGTTTCTTTCTCCACACTTCTTGCTTGTGGAACTCCATTCTGTTTCCATGCTTTCCAGCCAACTTTAATCTGCATCAATTGCTATCTGCTGTCTTCCTGATTACCCTTTGTTCTTGCAATGATCCTGTTTCTAACCCACACCCACACCCAGTAACCCCTTGTGAACTCAATTAATAAGGAAGCAAGATCTTTGTTTGACATTCAAAATAGCAATAGTAAACAGCAGAAAGCAATACGTTGAATCTGTTTCCAAAATTAATCTGTACAACTGACTTGAACATAAATACTATTGACATAGACTTTTAACAAACTGAACATATTTAATAAATGCAAACACATTTATAGATCCAAGTGAGAGCAACATTTTATTACTTAATGCAGATTCAAATATGGTCAATAGCATTTCCACTTTAATCATAACCTTTTTTTTCAGAATGTAATTAATCCTTTATTAAATTTTGACTTTTATTTTTCTTCAGTTGTTTTTTTAATAAAACTATTCAGACTGTCAGTGTACAGTCATCAGAAAACAATAGATATTCAATTTTTCCATCATTATTTTGTTCACTCTGCCACAAACATGAACAAACTGATGCAGTTTTTTTTTATTTATAGAGCAAATAAAACTATCATAAATGAACACAATTAGCAGCTTACTTGAAGGAACCGATTTTTTGACGAAGATTTTCATTTTCTCGCATCAATCGCTTGTTATCAAAATCAAGGCGGGCATTTTCTCTGTAAAAAGAACAAATAATGAACAGATTAAATAAATTTATATTTAATAATTGTATTTTTCAGGTACATCAACAACTAAATTATAGTAATGAAAACATGTTTGAATGCAAACAAAGTTAATTGTTGTGTCTTCTAAATCTTGGCACAAGAATATTTATTATGATAGAAAAAAGACAACTAGATCAATTCTTGACAAAAAACAACTTCAAAGAAGCTTATGTTTTTAAGACTGAATTAGCAGCAGCAACTATTTTGTCACTGAAATTGTTATTCTAGTTAGAATTTCTTTCAATATCACAAACTGGAGATAAAAAAACATAGTATCAAAATAAAGCAATATTTTGGAGCAATTATTTGAAATTAAATGAAAGTGAGTGAAAAGGTTGACAGTTATTTCAGTAGAGCTATTGAATACAGATTTATTTTTGGTATATCAACAACTATATTATTAAACACAACCAAAGATCATTGTCAGATTCTAATAAAATGATTTAATGAATACAACAAAACAATTGATTATAAGAGACCATGAATCTTTACTTTAAAATAATTCCATGAGAAAAAGTTACAAACTGTGAAAACATTAGTGGTGATTATTTTTCATAACTGTACACATTTTTTTGCCTTAATATTGATCTCAGTTCATAGTTACATTAACTTATAGCGTAGCATGTAAGATTCATTAAATTAGATTCACTGGACTAAATGATCTATTTGTATTAATTCTTAAGATGTTGTCCTCGTGTATTTAGAGGAAAAGAAATATGTTTTATTATTTTACCAATGTCTAAAAGTTTAATATGAACAACAGAAAAGGTATCATTCATTTTAAACAGAATCATAAAAAAAAAATTTGCCTTAAACCATAAGTTGCAAAGGAATGAGCATATAGAATAAAAGTGGGATTTTTTAAGAGAATATTAAAATTAGATAAGAATTATTTAGCAAAAATGAAGTCCTATCTAATAATGAAAATAACCTGTTAACAAAAATTAAAACCTATAATGTTTACTTCTGAAGAATAAAATATTGGCATGAAACAGAAATGTACCTTTTCACATATAATATCTCTGCATTGGCTTCAAAGTATCTTTCCTCAGCTACTGTCAAAGTTTCCTGAAAAGTAAAAAAAAAAAAAAAAAAGACATCAGACATTCAATTTGTTCTTTAAATTCTAAATAAATAGCAGTGGAAGTGAAACATTCACAGAGTTGATTAAAAATTATGTTGATAATGACAAAATGTACTCACCTTAACAATCTTGTACTCTTTCTCCAGCTTTTCATACCTGGTAACCAACTGAAAACAAAAGAACAGTTATTTTTATATTGCTGTTCATCACTATTATTGATATATTGTTTATTTCCTCAGATATCCGATTTATTATTGTTTATTTTTCCCCAGGTATCACATTTATTATTGTTTATTTTCCTCCAGATATTACATTTATTATTATTTATTTTCTCCCAGATATCACATTTATTATTTATTTCTATAGATATATTTATTCAGTAGATAAAGATCACTAAAATAATAAATTGATAATTAATTTGAAAAAGTTACTGTGGATTACATATTTCAAATAAAGCAAAACAAAAAAACATTCAGCTTTAAACAAACTAATGTTTAAACATTTAATGCAGAAATGTTTTCAAGAAAATAAAAATGGTTTTCAAAAACTGCTAATAAATGAGATTATGTTTATATCTTGGTTCTAAGTAATAAAAAAACAAACTTGAAAATGTCATCTCATTTGCTAAAAGAATTTAGTAGTGGCAAAGTGTCACCTATGGCAGAGAAGAAATAAAATTCTCCAGACAAAAATTTCTTTTGACAACATTATTATTCTCTGTACCATAATAGATATTTTAAATATGTCTCTTAAAGACATAGAAGGCAATCAAAGCTTGCCATAGATTTCTTTATCTCTCAATTGCCCAGCCTTTTGGGGAAACAGTAGTTTATGATTGCTTTCTTCAAGCTTTGGAATTCAGAGTTTTCTTTCTCTTTGATAGCACCTCTACTGTTATTTAATTCTTAACTGAGAAAAGAGATGGATTGATTTTTTTAAAATAAAATTTAACATACATACAGTACCTTCCCCACCAAAAAAATGTGTGAGCCAAAGGAAATCTAAGTTACCTTCTGAATTGTTGCATTCTTTTGTTTGTTATCTTCCAAATATTCTTCTCTCAACTGGAAAGAAAACAAAACAATAATATTGAGAATTAATAAAATTTTCTTGGAAATTAATGAATAAAGTATTGAGATTTAGAAATGAAATCTCTAGATATTCAGTGATTCTAAATATTTTTTGGGAGGTGGGGGTAAAGTTTCATTTACTTTTTATAACAAATGCACATACCAAGTGTACATCAATGCTTGTATCATCATCACTGTCTTAGTTCAAGATTTAAAGACTTTTTGTTTATCATTTAACTAACAACAGAAGCTAATTGAATGAGAAAGAAAAAAAAATTCAATATACATAATATTTAGAAATAGTAAGACTAATTAGTTTTTATTGTAAATATTTCTCATTATTTACTAAAGTTAAACAGCAATGGCAGAATGTAACTGAGTTCATCAATGAACCAGTCAGTCAGTCAAGAAGAAATAGATGATCAATAGCCTGAAAATAGTGACATAACTTATGAACTGTAATACTTGTACTGATAACATTTGTAATTCAAAACATGGTTAAAACATTGGCAAGATTAACAAAACAGAAAATAAAACTTTTTCCCTATCTTTTCTTAACAAAATCGTTGGTTTCTTCTGAAGCTTGATCTGAACTGTGAGGAATAGGTTTTAAATTTCTGTCTGAATTTCTGCAATGAGGAATTGTCATTATTTACATGATGACTATTGTCTCCATCTTTGTTTGTTGTTATTACAATGTTTCAGCCATTGTACCCTCTAGCTTTCATCAGATGCTTGTCAATCTGGGTAACCTTCAAGAAATTTTGATCTGAATCCTTTATTTAATCTATGGGGTTAGATTGTAGTTCTTGTTCTACTGCTCATGTCAAGGGATATCTTGTCTAGGTCTTATTTAGTAGAATAGCCTATTGGATTAAAGCATTGGTTTGTGAATTTAGTGACATAGTAATTGTGAGTTCAATCCCTAGGCTATGTAGTATAGACTTAGACTCAGTGGAAACAAGGCAAACAATGATTGAGCAGTACTAAAAGTCCTAGGCAAGATATCCTTTGACAGTGGAACAAGAACAATCTATTCCTGTAGATTAAATAAAGGGGTCAGTTTGAAATTCCCTGAAGGTTACCTCCAATTGATAAGGCCAGAGGGCACAGTGGCTGAAACATTGTGCTAACAACAACAAAACATGTTAACTGAATTTAGTTTCTGTCTGAATATTTAAAGGTCAATATTAGCCATTTTTGGAAAGAGAGACCTAATAAAAGTAGCCTTTTTATTGATTTTAGTTTTTATCTGAACCTACTTTCATTAATCTTAGAATTCTTTTTAGAAGCAGTTAAAAAAATAAATAAAAGTGAAAAAGCAACATAATAACTGTCTTCAAAGTTTAGAATTAAATTTGAAATGTTTTCTGTCAAGGATACTCAGTGAAAAGAAAAGCCTGATAATAATAATTAAAAGAACTGTTCACTATTAAAAACTGAATCACATGACAGCTTCCCCCCCTTTCCAATATTCTGATAAATGATTAATATTGGAGATACAAAATATTTGTATAAGAATATACAACAAAAATCTCATAGCATGTGTATTCTGAATTGGAAACTTTTACTTTCAAAAGTCAATAAAAAAGTTTGTTTTATTGATTTACATACCTTGATCATCTCATCAATTGCAGAATTTTGTTTTAGATTCTCAGACTCAAGTTCTTTTAGTCTCGTCTCTTTTCTATGGTTGTGAGCAGTTTCTTGATATAACTGATGTTTGAAATCACTTAGCAGCTTCTCTAGATCTGTACAGCGCTGTGCATATGTTTGCTGAAGAAAAGAAAAAAAAGAGTGCACAAAAGGTTCACATAGACCCTTTTAATCTGAAATACACATTGTCTTGTTAAATAATTCAAAAATCTAATGATGTAAATAAAAGATGGATGAAGAAATATCCAAGTTTCATTTATTTTGTTTTTATATCAGGTTTAGAAAAAAAAAAAAAAAACGTTTTTCAATGATTGAGAAACTAATTAATAAAAGTTAAAGCACATTAGTTATGCTAAAATTTATGCAAATTTTGAAATTCACTTTTGTTCTTAAATGCCTTGCTATTTGGGCCAGGATACTCATCTTGCTATTTGCATGTGGACTATTATCCTCATCATTGTTTTTATTATCACAACATTTTGGTCATTTTGACTTCCAGCCTTTATCAGGTGATTTGTTTAATCCAGGTAACCTTCAGAAAATTTAATGACTGAACTCTTTAGTCAATTTATGGGGGTAGAATGTTCTCTTTCTGCTAAACAATAGCCTAGTGTTAGTTCATGAATTACAAAATTCGATTGTGAGTTCAATCTCTGAGCTGGGCAGTGCAGACTTGGACTCAGTGGAAATAGGACAAGCAATAACTAAGCAATACTAAATAGGAACAAGACGAGATATCCCTAGACATGGTCAGCAGAGCAAGAATGATAATCTACTCTTGTAGATTAAATAAAATATTCAGTTTGAAATTACCTGAAGATTACCCAGATCAACATTGAAAGCTGAAGAGCACAATGGCCAAAACATTACGACAATGACAATAGTCTGCATGTAAACAATGGTATTTCAGACAAAATTATGTTCATCTTTTTTTTTCTTGGTTGTTATACTCTTCAGCCTATAGGCATATTTCTTAGTATTACAAGCTAAACCATTTCATCCAATCCATAAGGTTAATTATTCTTATTCTGTTTTCCATGTTTATGTAACGATATGATTTTAGATAGCTAGATAGACAGACACAGATAGACAAATTCTTTTTTTAAGTCAACTTAATAACCAGAGTTTCTCAGGAAACTTGTTTTCAGCCCATCTTTAAGTAAATTTAATGACCAGGAATCCTGCTTCCAACCCAACTTTGAATCATAGAAGTTTTGTTAGCGATTTTAGATAGCTGCAAAAGTAGAAGCCTTTGAAAAAAAAAAACAAAAAAAACTGACCACCAAAAAGCTGTCTGGGTGGTTCCCCTTTTCAGTTGGTGGAACACAAGTGGACAGAAAGGGGTGGTGGGTCCACTAGCCAGAACCTATATAATGAATAGTCAGTGAAAGGACCAGCAGTGAGAGAAACAGCCAGCAGTGAGTGTGTAGAGGTCTGTTTTCCATGGCCAGAACTTAAGTGAGAAATTGCATTTTTTTGCTGCTTTCCAACCAAACAAGTGTCTTGAAAAGCATTTGTCATTATTCTTTGTTGACGTTGATCACGGCTCTCATATTGAAACAAAAGTGTGGAATATAGCAAGCACTGGTGTATTCACATACAGCAGACCTTGGATATCATCACAGCTTGTGCAGTGATTTGCAGAAACTGCATCATCACACTTAGGAAATATCTTTTATTAGTTAGTATGTGATATCTCCTGAGCATGGAACAATCTTCAGCTGTTGATTGAATAAAATATTTGGTTTGAAATTTCAATATGGTTACTAATTTTGAAGATAATACACCTGAAGAAGCCTGGAGGGTATAACGGCTAAAACATGAAACATAACAACCAAAACGAGCATCCTGGTGCAAATAGCAGCAAAACATATAATAATTCCTTATCTAAAAAAAAATTAACTTTCATTCATTTATTTATTATTTTATAAAATTTGAATATTTTTGGTAAAGCAAATAAAAATAAAAAAAATAAATGAATGTATAGACTCTATACAATCATATATTTTTCTTGAAATATATTGTTGTTTTTCCAAAAATATTCAAATTCTATAAAATAATAGTTAATGAAAGTTAATTTTTGATGCAAATTTTTTTTTTTTTTTTAGATAAGTTGAATGTGCATCTTAAAAAAAAAAAACACTGATGAGAAGTAGTGTGTGTGTATGAGAGGAAAATATTTGTAGCATTGACCCTAATTGCATTTAGTAAATGTAGTTGGTTTTCCTTTGATATTTGGCTATCATCAGCTAGTGTTACAACATTCCTTGTTAAGCTGATGGGTTCACAACAAAATGTTCAAGCAACAGAAATGTTCAGATAACTGAGATGAAAATAAATGTTCTTAAAACACATTTTTTGGTTCACAAAATTTTATGCTTTTTAGAAAATAATGACATGAAATGAAAAATATTAATAAAATGCAGTCATTTTTTGAAAGAAACTGTCAATCTATAATAATTAGAAAAAGTCTAATTTATTAAATTCTTTTGAAGTAGAATACACTGCTGCAAAAACTTGTAGAATGTCCATATGTTAATGTGAACTTTGGTCAGTATGGTTCTCTCATACTTGTTTTATATGATCAGAGAAAGAACGTTTGCAAAATGACTTCTTAAAATTGCATAAGATCTTTGATCTTTTTAAAAATCAACCAAAACTTTACTTTAACTGAAGCTTTCTTTGATTCCAGATAAAGTTTGTTTTGTAACAACCAGCAACATTTAGGGAGCAAATCAATCTTGCTAAAAACATACACTACTCAACAGCTGAACAATATAAATGGTTGGGCTTTATATCAGTTTTTATATTTTAAAAAGTTACTGTGATTCAGATAACTTGAAGCACTTACTCGGTTACTTATTTTAGTGCATCATTTTACTTACAATTATTACCACATGACACAAATAATAGTCAGTGCATTATTTAAACAAATTAGCCCCAAATAATAAAGGCGCCTTTTTATATCTAACACTTATGCTATTGCCACTGGAAACGTTTTACATTTACGTAAGTAGCGAAGTAATCGTTTTAAGTAACATCATTAATTGAAATAAGTGCTGCATAAATTGTTGCATTTAAAAAATCATGGCTTAATTTGTAAAATGCCTTTACCTACGACTGAGCTTTATCGCACTTTATTATAATATAAAACATGACAATGATAAATTAATGCTGTGAATTATTTAACACTGCAAATAAACAAAAAAAAACAAACTTCCTCACCAATTGAGCCTGATAAACTTGCACTTGTTGTTCATAGTCACGAGTTTTTCTAAGAATAAAAAAAAATTAAACTTAATTTTGTTATAACCCAAAGAAAAGAGCATTTGGAAAGAGAAAAATAGACACAGGTGATTGAAATTAGTTCAAATTTATCAATACTAAATATCTTCTTAATTATAAAAAAAAAAAAGTAATTTACATTTGTACTTTAAATTCAAAACATTTAACTGACAAATTCCTTTATTTTTATAGGAGCTCTCCATTACTATAATTATAAATATATATATTTCTTCAACTTTAAGAATATTTCAGATTATAAATGTCAGTTTTCAACCACAAAATAAAAATGAAATCATTACACAGTACATGTCAATACTGAGTTGACATGAATTAGAAAATATTGCATAAAATGAGGACATGTTATTATTAAACTTAATTCTTTTATAATGATTCAATTTCTATATATTTGTGTGTTTATTTGCTTAACAGATAAAACAGCAGATCAAAGTACAATAGTGTTTAAATGCAATAACCTGGAGAATAAAATAACTTCCTATCCAATCAATCCATCAATTTTTGAGTAATTTTTAACTGTCAGACTGTTGTTTGTCCAGGGGAAATAATCCCAAGTACAATAAGGTTTGGTTTATTTTGTTTTATGGCATATCAACCTCAATGGGTTAATTAATGCCAACAAGATTTTTAGGATAGGTTCATATGAATAGTATATGTATTCTTTGTAAGAAATCAGTTTGTAGATCAAGTTTCATTGACATATTTTTATAAAGACCTCCTGACTAGAGGCCTTGCTGCTGGATGTAGTTTATTATCATACCCAGGACGCCTGTCCAATATGTGCTAATTAGAATAATTTTCTTTTGACCTGTTTCACCTCTCTTTGCCAACTATTGTGGCATAGCAGGAATAATAATTTAATAATAATAATAATTAAACTTAGTGGTAGTTAGTATTTGCAAATAATTACTCACCTATGATGTGTGTCTATCAATATATTTTAAATGAAACACTTTTCACAAAGTTCACAGATACTACATTGGTAATAGGTAGAGGAGACATATCTCACCCAGAAGTAGGATGTGTGACACATGGTCAGTTGAAGTGGAATGCCCATACAGATACATATTGGCCAATGACAAAAATTCCACTAACCTCACAACTGCTATTATGCTTGTAATTTCTATCTATTAACCATTCCTCTTTAGTGCAATGGGGGAGGTTCTGTTTTCAGGACAAGGCTTCTCTAATTATAAAACTCACAAATTTCTTAGAAACATGACAGAGGAGAAGATCAGATACCACAGTTTGGTTCCAGCTAGAAGATTAGGTAAAGATGGTTTCATGTACTTACCAACCTCCCCACAAATGTAGGATGGTTGCTTTTTTAATGTGGGATGACATACATAGAGACTAAATACAAAAATTACTTAGTCTCTGTTACAGTTCAATGAGGAAGATGCTGTTGTAGGGTTGTAACTCTGAGGACGAGGCTTGTCATAATTTTAAAAGGAAGTGAGAACAGATACTACAATTTGATCCCTGAAGGCTGGGTAAATGCAGTATGATCCAAGACAGAAGTAGCAATCCATACATAAATATTCATATCAATTTTACTTTTTTAATAATACTATGGTGATTAAATTCTATAAATAGGAAGTAAATTGACATCAAGTAGAGGCTGCTGCTGATAAAGCTAGATGTGTGATACAGCTAAATTGAAAGTATCATCTTGTTGGCCATACATTATTTCAACAGTTTTCTCCAGTCATGATGAACAGCTATACTAGGTAACTCCATGAGATCGCTAAAAAAGAGTATAGCATGACAAAAAAGATGCCAAACTTGATGAAAACAAAACTATCATCTAAATGTTTATGTTATTATTAAGAGGAAAGATCAAAGTATTTTTGGGATATTTTTTTATATTTTTTAATTCTAGCATGCCCAAAATTTTCGTTAAAAATCTTGTTTTTTTTTTTGAGTCAGAAAAATTGACAGATAATCAATCATGTCAACCATTTTTTTCCATTTTATAAAAAAATGAAAATCTCAGTTTGAAATTCTTTTAAAAATAGATTATAATTTTTTCAAAACTTATTTTAAGAAAATCAGAAATTATAATGTTTATTTAAAATATTTTGAAAGAAGCTTAACTGAGCTTCTGCACCAAAAAGACGTAGTTTGAAAATAAAACAAAACAAGTCATAACTTTTCACGTCACTTGACAGGTGACAAAAGACATTTTCATGACATATTGATAGCTTACACGTGAGGATAATTTATTCTATGGAAGGAGAGAAGTGAAGTTATTTAGATTTAAGTGAACAAATTATTTACCTCGTTATTTTTAAGAAAAACTTTCAGCACTTTATTTTTTTTTTGTACTTAGCTTTCATCTTTACGTTAAATTAAATTTCATAAAATTGAAATAAGACGACTCTAAAAACTGTAAAACAACTTCACAAAATTGAAATGAAATATGTAAATGAAATAAATGGTACTTTTAAAAATGTAGTAATATTGCTGCTGAAAATGGCTTAAGATGGTGTTCAAATTTTTTTAATTAGTAAAAAACGCTAATTCAAAATACTCAACATGTATTTTGCACGAAGAATTTGCAATAATGAGATGGACATTCAGCAGAGAATGTGACCTTCCATACTTTTTAATTACAGCCATTTTAATGATTATTTATGAATACAAAATTACATTTCTGTGTGTCTTCTGATTGGTCGAAATTAAACAATTTACGATGCGCTAAAAAATGATCTATCTCATAAGGACATTGACGAAAGTGAATGTGGCTTTCAACTTAAATGTAAAAATCTAAAATAATTAAAGAAGTAACAAATAATTGTATTAAAAATTCATTTTTTATCGAAAAAAATTTTTTGCTTTCAGAAAATATTGTCCATATTCATAAAAACAACTAAAAGTAAATAAAAGCATTTGAAATTAAATAATATCTTTGTTTTATTGAGTTTTGTATGTTACAATTCAGAGCTCATTTTCAGGTTTCCAATTAAAAAAAAAACCCCAAAAACATTAGTTATAGGGGTGGGGGGTAATAAATATATAAAAAAAATATTTCTGCCATGACTTTAATAAAAAAAAAAACAAAAAACATTTATAATAATTTCCATCATCTGTGAATAGTTTCTGAAAGTTTCATTAACATCTGATAATTATTTTTATTTTTGCAAGATTTTCCAAATTAATGTCTGTCATACAAAAAAAACATGCTAAAAGTTGTATATGTTATTTTACTAGTTCTGGTGATACAAAGAGTAATAAGGTTTTTTTTAATCAAAATTTAGAATGTTCTACAAAGAAGGAAAATTTAAAAAAAAAAAAAAAAAAAACAACTTTGGTCTTTCTTCTTAATAATAACAAACATTTAGATGCTAAAATTTTGTTTTTGTTTGGCATCTTTTTCATAATGCTATGCTCTTTTTTTAGCGATCTCATGGAATTACCTATGCTATACTCTTAATGAGGTTCCTAGCCTTGAATTGGGATTCAAGTTCACTCCAGACCCCAAGTAAAACTCGTATATACAAACCATCACTATGTGACACAGATCTCCAGAGGCTGATCAAAAGAAAAAAAAAAGAAGGAAGGAATAGGAGAGAGTCTGCTAACTGGATGATAATTGTTGAAATTTGCAGGAAGATCAATTGAAAAGTTGAGAAGAAAATTAAAAACAAAATGCATTGAAAAATCATGTTTTGAGATAATTCCAAGGAGAATCAAACAAATTTAACTAGACAGAATTCAGTAAGATTGAGCAAAATCAAGACTACCCATCCTTCCCCACTTCCAACCAATAAGAAAAAGACCATTAAGGTATCCATGAAGATGTCAGATAAAAACATATGTTGACAATAAGAAACCAGGGGCATCAGCAAAATCTGGACAAAAAGGACCAAGAAAAACTGTTTTGAATCAGTCACCCAGAAAAAAAGTATATCTACAGAGATAAGAACCATAGTAATCTATCATAATTTCTGTGACATTCATCCAGAAAAATTTTATATCCAAACATTAATTCATATTCCTTTGGATAGAAGTGGTAAGGAAAAATCAATTACTATTTTGAAGTAACCATAGACAAGAAGGTTGCATGGTTTGTTTGACTGTAAAAAAATGCATAAATCAGAAAAAAGTTAAACTTTCATTTCAGTGGAAATAAGTTTTTTTTCTTTCCTTTTCCAATTCTAGAGTGGTCTGGTCAATTGAGAGATCCCAGCATAGGCAAGCTGATAAGGATTAATGACTGAAAATCCCTTTTGTTTTTGCTGCACTATCTGGAAGTTGGATTTTTCACTCCAGCCCAGGAAACAAAATGAGTTGGCCGGTGAGAAAGTGGGAGAAGGCAGAAAAAGAAAGAGAAGGATTAGCACCACCTATATGGAGCTGTGGTAAGGCATAAAGAGAGTTGGACTTAACGAGTGACTTGATCCCTTTGACCACTCAAAAGGAAACTGGACAATCCCAACTTTGGAAAATTACTTGAGTAAATGTACTTTTATATATGGAAATTTAGAAAAGGTTGATGATTAGAGTTGAAGACAACTGAATCCAGACCATAGTCAACCCCACCTCTATCAGATGCAGGACTCCATATGTCGAAGATTTTGGATTCAGAGAGAGAGAGCGAGAGAGAGAGAGACACACACACAGAGTCCTTACACTACTGCTACTGGAATCCACATCATTTGCTGAGACCACCTGACCAAGACCTTGTGCTGGACCTGAAGACCAGAACTTAGAAATTTAAGTTACTACTAAAAGAAGCTGTAGACTCTAAAGGGGATCCCAGTGTCATTTGATTATAACAACAAGTGGCAAGGTTTAAAACTGCTGTATACAACAAATCATATATAAACCAAATTGTTGTCACATTTTTAACCTGAGTTAATTCTTTATTCCAAATGATTCATTTTTGTCTAGCTCCCAATTGTCAAACCATCAGTTTGCTTCATCAGTGAACTTGATTCGTCCTCTGAGATCAAAAAACACAACGTGGCAGAGGAGTGAATGGTCATGAACAGAAAAATGCCAGATAAGTCGAGTGGAACCATACCACCAACACGATACCAGTGACGAGTCACACACTAATGAGTGAAGAGTCAGTTAAATGGTAACTATGGTGGTCTGAAGGAATTTGAGGACTGATGACTGAGTGACATTATTGGTTAACACTGACAAGGGAGAACAATAGTGTTACATAATTGGTGCTGTGACCAAGATCGACTCGTGGGGGTTACAGCTAAAGATGCAGGAATGGTTGGTTCCTTGCACCAGAATGTACCTAACTCTTCCTGCCATGTCCAATCTTGACAAAAGTCAGATCAGATTGAAAATGGTGTATTGCTGACATATCTGGGTTGGAGCTGCACAATCCTCACTTTGCAGCCTTCACAGACTTCAAAAGCATTTACAGCCACTTTCCAACAGATGAAATATTGTTACTCTTTTCCAGGAGCTCCATTCTTTAGTCTCACTAATTAAAACCATCACAGCTAGGACTCACCATGACATGTACACAGAGTTGAATCCTTTTCATACTCCACTAGAAAGAAGGAAGTTTCATCCAGAGAGCTTATTTACGAGAGCTGCTACTTTGTAGAACAGACTCCTGAGAGGATGTTTTCCTCTCTAAGCACTACAATCTTAACCTCTTCATGTCTAGGATCAACCTTCATCTATCCTACATATCCTCATAATCTGCACTTACTTTGTCCTCTTATGTCAATAAAAGCTCGTGCAAGTTTTCTTTTTAGGTTATTTTGAAAAGACAGCATATTTTTTAATGTACATATGAACATCAAACAGAAATTAATTATCGTAAAAACAAAAAAAAAAACTTACTGTTGGGCAAGTTCTTCCTCTTTTTCTTGACATTTCTTTGTAAGAAGCAAGTTTTCTTCAACCAATTTCTTATAAGCACTTTGACTGCTGATACTATCTGTATTGCTCAAGGCATCCCTCAGTTCTTGGATTTCTTTCTCATAGTACAAACGTAATTCAGAAAGATGTTTTGCATGCTTTTCTCGTAAATTACCCCGAGAACTGTAAAGATAGTTACAAAGGATTAACTCATTCTTGCTAATTTGCTAAATAGAGAAAACTTGGAATCATTATAATTTATAGATAACCAAAAAAACATTTCATTTGCCAGCCATTAACAGAACCCATTCTGACGGTGAAAATGAATTTCCAAGAAAATCTTAAAACAAAGAAATTTTTTTTATAAACAGCTACTTAGCACCACGCTAACAGTTAGCAGATTTACTGAGGATAAAAAAGTATTATTCAGAATGAGAATCTGTTTCTTTGCTTATAAGTGCATATTCTTAGCTGATGTTTTTACCCGCCTAATACTGGAAATATATTTCTCAAAATATAACACAGTGTGCTCACATAATAAAGTCAATTAGATATTTGTGATTTTGCAGCCCTTTCAATGATTCTCAGTTCATTATGGAACTATTTTAATATTATTTGTATTTAATATTTGGCAGGGAAGAGCAAAAATTCCACAAAAAGTTTAAATTTTGCATTTAACCCATAAACTGGGGGGGAGTGATCCATTTCCCTCATTAATGGATCTGTTCTGAACACATATATTCAAGAGAACTCTGCTGATAGGCAGTGTTCAAGGAAAATTATGTTGTAAACTGATATTTGGTGTCTGGTAATTTAGCATAAATTTAAATAAATATATTTTGAATATCTTCCAGAGAACAATTTTCTTACATTTTGCAAGTTTTAACATTTCGAGACTACAAAAGAGAAAAAAATTGTCTTGGGCATTTTTATTAGTGTTTTTCAAAATTGGTGGTGGTAGGGATTTATAGGCAAAATATGTCGAAAAGTTTTTGTATTGTAGAGCCCCCAAATCTGCTTGATATAGGTCATTTTTTTTAAAAAGAATGTCAAGTTCTTGTATAACATTCATTTCAACGAGATTCCAATGAATTTCTTAGCAAAACGGAAACAGAAAAACTCTTCAGAACTGATCTAAAAATAAATGATTTTTGATCAAACTTCAAATGATCATAACTTGACAAATAAAATAAAACCAGTTCTGAAATCCTGGGATTGTTTACTTTTAGACTTGATAGAGCCCATATCACTTGGGAAATGTTTAAAAAATGTCAAATGTCTGCTTGCACTGTGGATTATATACCATTCATATGATGAAAGATCGCCAAGGTTTTAGCATAAAAATATTTACTAGAGAATGGATTTTCCACCTGGACCTTTTGTTGTAATTGTAGTTAGTGAAATCCCTTTATGTTTGTAAACACCACAGACAGAGCACTTTTCCAAAATCATTACAAAATAATTCAATGCTGAATGAGAACAGTAGCCATGATGTTTGACTGAAACCAGCTTGGGAATAGAGAGCAGTTTTTTATTAAACAAAACAAAACAAAAAAAAAACTTACTCATTAATTGAAACCAAGCCAAGTGACTCTGTGTATTGGACATCATTTAACGCATGAAAATTCCTGTTAGATGTCAGTTCCTGCTGTTGAATTCGTTGATTATGGCGCTGTTCCAATTCTTGCAATAGTGCAGTTTCTGATTTTAAATCATCTCCAAGAACAGATGGAAGATGTGAATCAGTGTCAAAACTTTCAGGTTTGCTAGATATTTCTGTTGGAGACTGCAATATATATACATAAAATTGTAACAAGCCTAACATTAACTATACTTATTTCACTTTATCAACATTTTAAATTATAATGCTTATAATAATTTTCTTGCCTTATTTAATACAAGATTTGGTAAATAATAAATTTGAAAAATATTTCTTTTACAACAATGAAAAAACAATAAGGTAAATTTTTTTTTCAAACACTGATTATGTTGAACAGTAATTCATATTTAACACTTAAAAAGACCTCTTCAGAAATGTTACTTTATCTTTTACCTAATAAAAAGCAATTTCTTTTTTTTTTTTTTTATTTATTATTAATTAAATAATATTTACCAACAAGTAAATAAATATTCAAAACTTACTTTTAAGAGCAGAGAACTTTTAGATAATGGGAAAGGTGTCGCATAAACACCACCTTGCAATATTCTGCCATCTGTAATGAGGCCAGAGTTAAGAGGTGGCTGCATATGATGTGTCAAACTGGAATGGTCAGATAAAGGGGAAAATGACCCCCTCCTTGGTGAAACTGGTGACCGTTTTTGATTTGCTTGACTTGCCTGTGGTTGATAATTGCCAGTTGGAGGCACTGAAAAACGCCTTTGTTCATTTGGAGACATCATTTCTAGAGACAAGTTATCTTCTGAATCTTCAGTGTCACTGAGATCAATATCAGCATCATAGCTGTTAAAATTTGGGTGACCCATATTAGGGCGTAGGGATATGTGGGGGTTTATATTACTTCGTACAAAGGCCTCTTTGATGAGAGCATTCTTACTGGTTTTTATTTTCTGTTGGAACGATGCCTGCTGGTTGAGTATCTCTGCTTCCATATCTTCCTGGATTCTTTTAATATTCTGCTGATGTTGTTCATATTGCTTCTTCAGAGCTTTCAAATGCTGCTCTTCCAATTGGTGCAACATCCAAGTTATCTAAACAGAAAAAAATAATAAAAAATTATATTTATTCTTTAAAACCAGTTTGATAAGATTAAATCCTAACAGAAATTATTGTATTATATCTTTTGAGTTCTTAAAATAAATTTAATAAATTTGTATAGCATTTTCACTTATTTCAATTAAAAGATGGTTTGATGTATTTGATAAATCATCATAGAAAATTAACAATTAATCTTGTTTAAATGATGACTGGCCTTTTGTATAAAATCTGTTCATAATTGCAATGTGGCAAAATTGAACTGATAAAACTGAATACAAATTTTTCAAACTTATTTCATCTTGAAAAGAAAAAATGCAAATTGCAATGAGACTAGTAAAATGCACGCACACTGAAGCCATTATAAAAATTCAGAATATGGAGATGATAAAGAAATTGAACACAAGATAGTTTGACCAACACTAATAAAATATTGACCTGAAAATGAGAATCATGTTTGTAAGTAACTTCATCAGTTTGAGACTTTCATTTGAATTTCATACATGGCATCCATTTTGTTCAAAAATGCCTAAATTATTAAATCCTTTAAATATTAACAGATGACAATTCTTCATCAGACCCTATAGACTACCAATACAAAATTACAAAGAGCGTTACCAAATACATGTAAACAAAATAGAAAATAATGATATAATGAAGATGTTAACTTTCCACATGACCAAAAAGAAAAGTTTTGGAAAGAAGCTCCTATTGTTACTAGAAAGAGCAATAACTGGACTTGAGAAGTATTATTTCCTGAAAAGCTGTTTTAAGAAAATGAAATGATTTCAACTGATATTTATGTTAACTGTTCAGTCAATGAATGCTGAATGTTTTCTATATAGAAGCAGCAAATCCTACCATTATCATTTTCAACTGAATGAAGCCAATTGTTTTTCATCAACAATATCTACATCCTAATAGTGTAATGGGCAAGAAAAGTAATAAGTTTGAAGAGTAAAGCAAAATAAAAAAAATTAAGTTGCAGTGTGTTAGGAGATGTGACTGATTCAAATTAAAATGTACATCATAATAGGAATTTGAAATTTCTAAAGACAAGCTGACTTTAGTGATTGTGCTTTCCTTTGATGACAGAACAAACATTTTGCATTTAGTAGACATCACAATTCACAAAAATTTCTAGAAAACTTTTTAAAAATAATAGATGTTACTTATGGTGATTTTTGTCATTTCCTTTCAAATTTTATGACTTTCTGTAATTTTAATTGTAAAACAGTACCTGAGAAAGACACTGGCTGTACATATAAATTCTTTCCAAGTAAATATGTTACCGTTAGATATATAATTACTTATTAATGTAAGAAATTGCTTACATTACAGAAATAATTTCCAAAGTTAAAACTGAAAAAAAAGAAAAAGAATCAAAATGGTAATTTATTTACAGATATTTACCTGCCTTTCTTGAAGTGATTTAAAATTAGGAACAGGACCAGATTTAGAAGGTGCTAAAGGAGAATTTAAAGCATTTGATGTAGTGAACGCTTCAGGAATTGTTGAACTGTTAGGCAGGCTGTCCTGCTTTTTGGATATTGTCCTGTACTCTTTCGTTTCAGCCAATGAATGTTGAGGGATGTTTCCTTTGCAGAGTTCATCAAAACTTTTCCCAATCTCCATTGGGCTTAATTTCAAATGTTGAGACCAAGAGGTTCCTTTCATCTGACAAGGGTCAGAATAGTAGCCAGTAGGGCTGAGGCCATTTGCATCCTCCAAATTTAAAGTCAAAGGTTGAACTGAACCAGCCGGCACATCTTCATCAGTTGTCAGATCAAGATCTGCTGCTGCAAGAAATATTCAATAACTTGGTGAGAAGAATCAATCACTCACAACTATTTTGATACTTATTTAGCTCAACACTAATCTGAATAAATTAGTGTGTTTGCTTTTAATATTCAATATTTACATTCTCAGGTTTAATGAAAAAAGAAAAGATTGCAATGTAAAACTGACAATTTAAACATAGATTGATGTTTGTAAAATTACGTGATCTTCAATGATATACTTACTATGTAAAAGTAAGTAATTTGTTTTTATGCTCTCACCCATGAACAGAAATCAAAATACAGTTGCTTAGATAAAAACAAGTTATGTTTAATTTGCAGATGAAATAAAATAATAAAATATTAACATTTTGGCAATTTATGCCCACAAAAAAAAAAAAAAAAAAAACGTGTCAAAAGAATGGTTATTTCCTTGACACCACTATTATTGCATACACTTTTGACTCCTTCAGCAATGCTTATTTACAAGATTATAAAAATATGTGAATCAAGTAAAATACAATATTTATTATTTAACTTTCATAAACATTTATTTACTATTTTATAAATTTGAAAAGAAATCCTTTTATTCAAAAATATATAAAAAATTAAGACCATCTACAATATTTATTTACCATTTTATATATCTTTTTATAGAAAAAGAAATTTTAAATAAACCTAACAGATATAAATTAAAAGAATGTTTGGTTCAGAGGAAAAGATTATCTCAACCTATTTTAGTGAATTTATGTGGTTAGAGCAAATGAAAGAAATGTCTGGAAAGCATTATTTTTTTTTTCAAAATTTCAAATTACAGTAACTCGTTGCTATGTGTTTATTTAAATTTTCTTGTTCACCAACAGTTTTATAAATTTAGGAATAAAAATTTTTTTATATTTATTACTTTATAAAATGGTAATAATAAATATTTAATTCTGGTTGGCTCACATTTTTCTAATCTTTATTAAACAACAAAATCATTAATAGATTCTTTGTCACTTAACAGCTAATGACTTTGCCCTCCATTTCTCTAAAAGAAACTCCATGTTAGAGATATAGTCGATTAAATTAAATTGAATATATTTTGAAGTAGATCAAATGAGTTCTTTGATTAAATATTCTTATACTGATTTAATATGTAATTATGTCTGGAAATTTAGAATTTGTAATTTTTACCTTCGGTCAATGTTATATCAAATTTGAAAAGAATATTAATAACACAATAATTATTGAGATTATTCTTTTATAAGGAACAAAAGACACAATTTATGATAGCAATAAGACAGTTTTTATCTTTCCAGTTTATTGGATATATTTTTCTTAGAATCAGGTTTCAATTTAGGATGAAGTGTTTGAAAATCAATTATTCATCAAGAAGATATTCAAGCAAATTTGATGTAATGTATAAATCCAAAATAATTTTTTATCTTAAAGACCATGATGTTGCAACAATGAAAAGAATCAATCCAATTTTGTAACAATTCTTTTTTCAAATTAAATGTTTACATAACTGTTTCCTATTATCTATATTTATCAAAACTCAATAGAAGATATTATCTCTTAATTATATATTCCTCTTTAAGCATCCATGTATCATCTATTTCTTAGTTACTGTACAAGCAGCAGCAGCCATCCTGTTTAACATTGAATTTATCTGATATTTCTGGAACAGTGACAGAATGGGAAAATTCAGGTCATTTTATCTGTTAGAGATGAAAGCAGCTATTGTCGAATTTTTCAATTTGCAAACACCAATTATGACATATAGTAGGTAAATAAATTACTGTGAATAGTGAAATCTGTAATGAATCACACACACACATATATATATATATATATATATATATATATACACACACACACACACACATTAGGTATGGGAAAAAGTGGAAAAGCTTTTTTTTTTTTTTTTTTTTTTTTTTTTAAAATGACAACAGGTTTTTTTCTTGGTATTAAAGATTTTAATGTCTGTTTGTTAGGGTGGCTTCTTTCAATGAAAGAAAACAGACATTAATGTCTTTAATACCAAGAAAATAAAATAAAATAAACATGGTCTTGTCTGAAGACACTAACCTGGAACATGGAGGCAAAAAAGCATTGTCATTTAAAAGCTTTTCCATTTGTGTTGCATTATCTCCACTTTTGTTTGGATACTACATCCAACTAACATTGGATAAAGATGATATTTGATGAGACAGGGGATAAAACTCTTCTATCACTCCCAACTATATTTGATGATTTATTATTATTATTATTTAGTAGTTTTGGACATGAAAGTTTTACTGATTGGGACAACTGTGGATAAGTGAAAGCGCAGTTGATGATTTTGTGAATGATCAGAATTTCTAATCAATTAGAAAAATAATTCAGATGAATTTGTAGATGAGAAAAATATCAAATATGTTAAGATCCAGCAAATCCTTAAGAGTAAAAAAGCATTTGGTAAAGATAAGAAAGGAACACAAATGATTGTTTCATTTCTAACATATAATAAATAATAATAAACTATAATACAGAACACAAACAAGGAAAAAAAAAGCCTAAAAATGATTTTATATTTTAGAATCACTCAAAGATTAATGTTAAACTTATAATTTCAAGTTTGTTTTAGAAATCAAAGCAAAATTATTTCAAGGCTTATAGTGCAATATAAAAATCCTCATTTCTGTATTAAATTATTTGCATCAAAGACCCCAATGGTGGAACAAAATGATGACAATTGAAACAGACCTCAATAATTGAACCAGCAGATGAAGAGAAGCTATGCATGATGGACATGTTATAGAATGTGCCACTTGAAATTATAACAGTCAGCAGCAATCTGTTGCAGTTTCATAACTGTATGTGCCGCAGAGGAAGTTTATGAAATCAAGTGTGTGGGTCACTCCCTGGCAAGCTGAGGTCCACCTTAAACAAATTCACACCTTCAGCACTTTGTTATACAATGATCTTGTTTCACCTCCAACCAACTCCTGCAAAGCCAAATGGCAATAGGCAATGGATGATGGGAGCAGGATTTAGTCCTGAACATGCATGTTGGTGGTGAATTTAGTCATCAATACCATCATTATAAAGGAAGCAACCAGGAAGAAATTAAATTCTTGAATATGAGATATTCTTGAATAATTAAATTCTTGAATATGATGATGACAGCATCAAAAGATCATGCAAATCTGGTACAGGACCAACTCTGACATTATACAATGAAAATATTATCAGTTTATATTCTTGGCAGGTTTAAGCTCTTTTTTAATTTTGCAGATGTGAAAGAGGGCAAAAGAGATCTAAAATAGATCTCTTTTGCCCATTGTCATAAATCAATTATAACAGGATAACAGTCTATGTTTTGAACTGGCCATAAGCTTTACAATCTTCCTATAAGAGATTTAAAATAAACTCTTTATTTAGGTGACATTGTTAGTTTTCTCACTCTAAATGTTTGTTTTGTCTACAACAGCAGTTAATTGATTCTTGAATTGTCTTCAGATTCCCAAAACGATAATGAAAGAAAAATGCACATCAACCATAAAAAGCTAAAAGTAGTGCCTATACAAACATAATATTTACCTTGGTAGCATTTAAACTTTTTCAGATGCTGGCAAAAGTCAAAGATGTATATACTGAATCTAAACAAATGAAACCATAATATGAACTTTATATCTCATGAGGAATGATCAAGAAAAAAAATGTTTATTTACATTTCCTGATCTGCAATCAGAATTAGATTTACTAAGCAAAAGAAGAATTTTGCATTTCTTATATAAGCAACAAGCTACAGAAATTACCATAAATTCTTACCTGCAGGATTCCTTTTTTCTTTCTTATCTTCATTCTTAGATTCCTGACTAATTCCAGTGGAAACTTTATTTCTTGGACAAGAACCTAAAAACATCAATCTTGGACAACCCTTGTTCATTCCTCGTCCAAGCTTCAGATTACCAAAATAGACAGCACTATCCTCAACGTGTGGTTTAGTAATCTTGAAGACTTTCTTAGAGAGTTTGTCTTGACCAGAGATATCAGCAGCAACCTCATCACAGGAATTTGCTTTTGCCAGCTTGTCATGTAGAGGAGAATGACGAGGACTATTTTCAGATAATTGATCATTTTTCCTTGGTCGAGGAGACAAGCACAATTCAAAATTAATGTTTTCCTTGTCTGATGAGGCACTGGCTGGGGATCCATTAGGGAAATTGGATTCCAATTTTGTAGACGTTGGTGCAGAATGATCAACAATATCAGGAGATGAACTAAGTGGAGGAGGAGGAGGAGGAGAAGGAGGAGGTGGACATGTCACAATTGAAGTGGTTTCTACTGAAGTAGAATTTTCCCTTTTTAAGGTTCTCAGGTTGTTTTCAATGTCCTTTAATTTTTGTCTTTTATCACATTTCACCTGTTCTCCAGTTTCCAAAATAAGGCACTCTTTTACACCAGGAGCAATGACTCTACACACTTTGTAGTTGTTGAAGTTTTCTGTATATTCTGGGTGTGCTTGTAATGGTTTTGCAATGTCTTCTGATTCTCTTACATCTACTGCACCTTCTAGTTTACTATTTTCACAAGAATCAGAAACAGGTTTGGTGCTAGCACAGTCATTGTCTTTTTCTGCAAAATTAAAAGTAGAAGTTTTGGAATCTTCTAAATTCTTACTTAGATCAGTATTTTTTGTAAAGTCCATAGATTCCAATTCCTGATTGGTAAATAAAGTTTTATTCTCTGTATTTCTAACAAGTTGTTCCAAATGATCATCATTTGAAGTGTTGCTAGAAAAGTTATCAATGGCAGAATCTTGAAATTTATGTCCATCACTTAAGTAAGGCATATCCATATGTTGGGGAAAATTATGATTACTTAGAAGAGAGTCTGCATTCGAGTCAAGGTCATTGAAAGTTTCAAATTTTTCTACATCTTCCCAGTCTTGAGAATGACAAGAGTCAACACGGTGGATAATTGGTCGGACTGCATCTTCAGGCAGTGACAACTCGAGAGTAGCTGAATCAATATCCAACATTGGCTCTGACAGGAGGCTGCTGACAGACACTTCAAGCTTCCTTGGTGGGCAGGAACTGGCTTGTTCACCACTGGAAGAATCCATTGCTTTGAATAGGAAGAAGAAAAAAATTATCAACAGTTGATAAAAATGACAAACTTTGATTGAAAAAGAAATCAAAATAGCATAAGCAGGTTTTTTTAAATTTTAGTTATGCATCATCTTTCACTTAAAGTCTTCTGTCAAATCAGATGAACATTTTCTACACTTAATTGATGAAACTAGCATTGATATTACACACACACACATATCACAGTTATCAATCTGGTGAGACAATCCTAAATTTATGCTCACTGGCACTTGTGTCCCTCTGGGCAGAGGAAGTTATCATTAAATCTGATATGTGCTGACCAACTGAGCTACAAAGAACTAATTAAAATTTTTCTTTAATAAAATTTCTCGAGCATTCAGTCAATGAAAATAAATATACTGTTTAATAAATAAGCGTCTACTCAAATATGAGTAGACAGTAAAAATTAATGTTTAATTTGTCGGATTAATAAAAAATCTATTACTTTCTCTAAAATTTTCTTTGTTTACGTTTGGATATAAACTGTGCAGATATGAAAAATTTTGGGAGATCTATGATGATAAGTTTCAATTAAAGGCACAATTTGGGCTGTCTGACTACTTTGTAGCTCAATTGGTCAGAGTGTATCACATTTAACAATCTCCTTCTGCTCAAAGAGATACAGATTCAAATCCTGCCAGACAGTATAAATTTTTCTTTAATAATATGAATTATTCTGTTGCAAATCAACAAGGGTCTGGCCATCATTGACACAGATTTTTTTTTTCAAATTTGATACACTTATAGAGCTTCATAATACAAATTGAATGATACCTATTTTACATCTCTAGGTCAAAGGGTTCCTGAGATATGACTCTTTGACCTTTGTCAAAATGATGAATTTTGAAAAATAATCACAAAGTTTAAATATCAATATCTGTTATTTTTTCACCTACAAAGCTAAATTATATACAGTTTTAAATTACTTTGATAGATCTAAAAGGAGATCTGTTTATTTTTTGTTTAAAGGTTAAATAAGATAATTTGAACTTGAAATTAAACTTTGACCATTAATTTCTCAAAAAGCATATCTTAATTTTTTTTAAAATTGGCCAAAAAATTTTCCTGCCTGATGGCAAGATATGTACAAAAGTTTGTGGTGGATCTTTGACTGTGGCCAGAGTTACAGGGTTTTACAGAGTTGGGACAAATTTAAAATGGCAGATTTTGGTATTTGCCGCCATATGCTAAGATTTTCATATCTCCCAATATGGTCAAGTTGTATATCTTTAGAAAGTTTTTTGAATGCTGATTAATATTCACATTAGAACTATGACCATAAAATCAAAAGAATTTGTGCTATTTGTGATTAAATGCTGACCAATTCGATGGAAAACAATTTTATTTTATGGTTTTGTTTACAGATTTTTTATATGATAAAGTAACATAATGAAAATAATTATTTAAAATAGTGTCAGGAATTAATGTTAAGATAACATAAAATATGAATAAATGATGTTAATAGTTAAGAAATTTTTGTTGATATTTGACATACACTAAAATTAGCAGCATTACCTGAGTTTTCTGAAAGTACTTCAACATCAGCTGAAGACTAGAAACAGCCTTCTAGCATTTTTATAGATACTGAAATTGAATTGCAAATTCTTAATGAGTCATTGTCAGTGGTTGGTGAATTGCCAATCAAGTGTCAAAAACTTGAAAAACAAAACAGTTATGAGGAATAAAAAGTAGGAAAAATTTAAGGAGCAAATTAAACTGATTTTGACTAAAATTTCTTATCAAGAATCTACCAGTGTAGAAGAGCACAAAAGATCTGAAGAAAATGAAATTATTGCACAATTAAAAGAAAAATTTGAAGCTTGTGAAAAGAAATCTGAAAAAGTACAAATTTTGACAATACAATAAAAGTTGGAGTATCCAAAGAATTCAAATGGAATTTGTCACCACAACATATAGAGTGTGATGGATAAATTATCATTTAAATTATGCAAAAATGAAAATAAAATATCTAATTTTAACTGATATATTTAAGAAAATTACACAAAAATATCTTGAAATTCTAAAGAGTAAATTTATTCAATGAAATCACCATTGGCTTCAACCATGGCCTCCAGATGATTTTGGATTCTCCTGCAACTCTTCTGGATGGTCTCCTTGTTTAAGTTGGTGAATGCTGCTATAATCCTTGCCATCAGTTTATCATTGGTGTTACAAGGAGTTTTGTTGGTCTCAAGGGGGTTGCAGTCTGGGGAGTTAGGTGGCCAGATGGAAAGGGTGATGTGGTTGTAGAAATTGTTTAGCAGCTATGACTGCTTGTGTGACATGGTGCAGAATTGCCAAACATAGGGTCTTCCAGCAGCCACCCTCTTGATACAGGACAGCACCACCTCCTCAAAGCACTTGTAGGCCTCTGTGTTGAGTCTCAGGCCCTCACCAACAAATTTGGGGAGTACTTTTCTTATCAGAACAATCTGATTTTTCCAAGTTGCTGTATCTTCGTAATCTCCATTAGTTTAATCCAACTCTTCCTGAATCTTCAGCATTGTCTTCAGATTGACACCCAAACACTGAAATATTCATATTGGAGCTTCTGGTGCAAATGACAAGCAGAACACCATGCAGTCTCAAAATTTCTGGCAGAGTGAATTGTGTCATGGTGCTATTTTTCTCACATATGTTGCTCAACTGACCCTACAATATTGTTCAGGCTACCAAATCAAAAACAAATAATGCACATGCATGAAATAAAAAATATAAAATACTGCATCCTCTCTCTCTCTCTCTCTATACATATATATATATATATATATATATATATATATTAAAGACATTTTTATGTTTAACGTTCTTTTATAGATACAAGTATTTAAGTAAATGCTCTGTTTATAATAAACAGTATTTTTTACTCCTGAATGTCCCGAGAAATTTTCATAAAATATTCGTCTTTGACAGGATTCAACAATCCTATACCCGTCATTTACATGCTGCTTTAACTGATTCGCCACAAAGGAGCAGTCGGTAAATCAAAAATTTACAAAACTAATGCACATGCAAATGTAAAAAATGAAAAAAGAAATGGAAATACTGCATTTATGTTTAACTCTTTTTTATAGATACAAGTATTTAAGCCTGAATGTCTGTTTATCAAAGGACTTAATATTTTCTATGAAAATTTCTTGACATTCAGGCCATAAATGTTATTTAATACTGTTTATTATAAACAGAGCATTTACTTAAATACTTGTATCTATAAAAAGAACGTAAAACATAAAATGTCTTTAATAAATAAATTGTTGGATTTTGTCCATTTCTTAATATATATATATATATATATATATATATATATATATATATATATATATATATACATTAATGCTATTTGTCATTCTTATAAAACTCACTTGTTATAGATATCAAGTCTTATTTCAATTAATTTTTTTTGTTTGTTTAATGTGATAATTACTTGGACAAACAAACATATGGTTAAAACTTTTATATTTTGTTTTAGCAAATCTGAATAAAAATATAGAACTGGAAAAAATAGTCAATTCATCCACTGGTAGAAAGTGCAAAGAAACATATTAGTATTTGTTATAAATATCTCATATTCATAGTGGCCTTTGTTCTGGACATTAAGAAATGGGTTGGTAGAAAAGTGCTTGAAAGAACATTGAGACTGTCATGTATGTGAAGTTGAATTACTATTGTCTTAGTTGCTCTCCTGCTTTCAAAATCACTTGACTTTTGCTGCCAAATCGCTTAGCTGAGATTAAGTGAAAAAGAAGTTGAAGGAATCATCAAAATCTTCATTTATGTTAAAAAAAAACAAAAAAACCACATCTTTAACAACAACCATCAATGATTCAATTGTAACAAAAAACAATGGAAATATATTTGGTGTCATGGTGATGACATACTGAGTTTATTATGAGTGGAAAATGTTAATAAGATTTATATACAAATCCTAAATCATAGATTGATATTTGGTAATCGAATGAGAAAATGGAAAAAAAAAAAACCAAAAAAACCTAAGTTTTTTAATGTCATATCAACTCCGTATGGGTCATTTAAAGCTGAAAATTAATTTTCTTAGGGACATTAGTAATATCATTTAAAAAAATGTACTGCTGGTAAAATATATATATTTTAAATGTATTGCTGGTAATATTCCCTCCCACTCTTCCAAAAATGTATTGCTGGTAATTTTTTTTTTTTTTTAAATGTAAGTTGGTGAATGCTGCCATAATCTTTGCCTTCAGTTCATCTTGCTCTCTTGTTCAACTGCGCCCCAACATAATGATCAAGGGGGTTGCAGTCTGGGGAGTTAGGTGGCCAGATGTAAGGGGTGAGGTGGTCAAAAATGGTCTGCACCTATGACTGGGGTTTCTGTGCAGTGTCCTGTTGCCAGATATAGGGTCTTCCAGTAGTCATACTATCTCCCCAAGGCACTTGATGTAAGCCTTTGCGTTGAGTCTGAGGCCCTCACAAACAAATTTGTGAGTTCTTTTCTTATCAGAAAAGATCAGAGTGAGTTTTCTGAGTTGCTGTATCTTCATAATCACCATTAGATGCTTTCAAAACCTCTACACTGTTCTTAGAGGACACTCTGAATGTTTGTATTAGATGACGTTATTATTATACCGTCCAAATTTCTGGTGGAGTGAATTGTGTCATGGTGCTCTTTTTTCTCAAAGACGGTGTTCCCTACTAAACTGTGCAGGTGGCAAAACCAAAAACAAACAACGCACATGCACAAAATTAATGGAATAAAATAGCAACAATTACCCATCATACCCTGTACATGGCAAGACAAGTCAAAAAACTGTTCTTAACTCTATCTTCTTACAGATTCTCACAAGAGACAATCAACAAAGGTGTCTGTTTTATAAGAGTGAAGAAGTATATACTATAAAGACAGTGAATGGTAGAAGAGTTCAGGAATAAAAGTATCTTGTACTTTTGTAAGTAGAGGTATATCAATTATTTAAATAAAAAAAATCAAAACAGAATTAATTT